TATGGTTGAAATGGACGAGCCTATGGATCCTGCAACCTTCGTGCCCATTCTTAGAGCTTCAATTTCGCATTGGAGACAGCTGGTAGCTTTTCATATTAGTTTTATACTGTTGTTCATTTTTCCCTCTTTGATTTCATTTGTCTGATGAATACTTGCTTGTGACAGTAGAACCAGACATGAGGCTTTTTCTATAGTTAGATATGCATTATTCATGCTTTATACTGTTTAGATATCTTCTTCCTCTTTCCTCTTCTCATGTTAGTTTAATGCAAAAGCGGATCAGATACAGAGGTTTTTCGAGAAATTATGTACTGTTTCTGCTTCATGTTATAGTTCAGGTCAACAAAAACAAGTACAATGGAGTTTTACTTGTACATTTTGCTCCTCACCAAAGCACACAATTGCTGTTGTTTTTTAGTGTTTTTAATTTCCTCTCAGGATTTGGCGTATTTTCCGCACCTCTTACTGATTATGAAGAACTTATTATTTGTTTCACTTGGCCGTGATATGTGAAGTTCACTCAAATTCTTTTCTGTTCAGCTTCCTCAATTGGTTGTGCGCTTGAGATATTTTAACATTCCTAGAAACAATTAGTAGAAATCTTTTTTCACAGACAAATAAAAGCTTGTCACTTATCAATCATATGATACAAACTTGTATCACACAAGAATTGGCTTATGACACCAAAAGGGCATTTTTTCGGTACAATGATATGCTTGCCCCGAGGGAATCAAGAACCTGCCAGTGTCTCAATCCTGTATAGTTGATGAATCAACTTTGTCTGACAGGGCAAGAAAATCGTTTGGATGAAGTTACCTATACAGCAAGCCTGTCTTGTTGAACCTCTGGTTAAGGTACCCTTGTGCTTTTGAACTTTGATCAAGAAGAAAAATTTTTGTTCATTATTTGCTGTGCATTTTTGTAAATTTATTATTAGTTCTGTGGCTCTTCTGTACAGGAAGGATTTCAGTATCACGATGCGGAACCAGAGTATTTAATGCTTGTATACTGGCTGCCTGAAACTGCAAGGGATATTCCGGCAAACGCCACACATCGTGTATGTGTTGGTGGATTTATCAAGAACGAAAAACGAGAGGTATTTCCCCTGCTTTATGTCAATATATAGTGAAGTTGCACAATGAATCTCACAGGTTAATTGGAAAAGCTTCCTCACAGTTCTAGGGCTGTGATCAGTATTATATTGCCTTTGTCCTTCTGTGCAAAAAAGTGACTGGGAAGAATTCTAAAATGTAGTTCTATTTTGCATTTTTTCATTAATGTGTTTTGTTACTAGATCCTAGTGGTTCAAGAAAAAAGTGGACCTTTTTGGAAACCTGAAGTCTGGAAACTCCCCACTGGATCTGTTGACCAGGTAAACATGTAGTTCATCAGCTCGTTGCAGAGTAAGAAGTAATGATGGGCGTGTAAAATTTACTTAGTTTAACTTATCCAGGGAGAAGATATTCGTGCAGCAACAATAAGAGAGGTCAAAAAAGAGACAGGAGTAAGTATTCTGATTGTGGTACCTATAAACAGTAGAAGAAGTAAACTATATACATATATGCCTAAGTTTTTGTGGCTTTCTCAATTTGCAGATTGACACAGAATTTTTGTAAGTGTTAGCCTTCAGGTAGATACAAATTGTTCTGGGTTTTTTTTTTTTTGGATTGGAATCTGCAAATTTACGAAGTGCTAAACATTTCTTTCTTCTTTCATCAGACAAACTCCTAATTGGCACTTAAGCACGAAGTCAGAGTTATTCATCTTGTGCATGCTGCGCCCCCTTTCTTTTGACATCCAAGTTGAAGAACAAGAGATAGGAGCCGCCAAGGTGCATAATTTTCTGGCAACCTATATTCTTCATGTTAAAAGTAAATGCTTATCGTACTTTTAAATAGTGATAGAGAAGGAAAGGAAACAAGCGATGAGTTTAAAAATGAAATGTTTATCCCATCACACTAAATCACATTCTAGTTGGAGTTATGTTCTGCTTAAGTTAATGTAAGTACTAGGGGCGAAAAAAACAGAATGATTATTACAGCCAAAGGTAGAAAGATTTTTAGGTAGGCTAGTGGATCACTGGAACTATGTCAAACGCATACTTCAGTAGGATCTAGGAATAATGAATAATAAAACTTTCTGACCCTCAAGTTTGCCTCATTTATCAACATGGTCCTTGAAGTTTAATCTTTCATCAATCAAATCCCTATAATTTCATAACCATACACAGCCAGTCCTTATGGTTTGAAAATATATAGTCCCTCACACACACGTGGTATATCCTCGAAGGTGGCAACTTCTTCATGGATTGCAGAAAAAATTGCTTGTACGATGAGATCAAATAAGAATATGAAATTGTGCATGAAACTTTAGGGATTTGATTAACAACATTAAACCTGGAGGACCAAATCGATAGTATATCGTATTTATGCTGTCTTGTCTTGCTGTGTAGTGGATGCCTTTTGAGGAATATGCAGCTCAGCCATTCAATGAGAAGAACAAGTTTGTGAAGCAGATGAATGAAGTGTGCAGGGCAAAGATGGGTGGCCGTTATTCTGGGTTTCAGGTACTTTAATTCTGGGGACCTCAAGTGTAACAACGGTTCCCTCTTTTTTAAACTCAAAATTGAATAATACTAATCATGATAGAAAATAATCTTACCATAATCTTTGAGAAGGTGCCATGATTATAAAAAGAAATTGGACTCGTAAAAAATGTTAACCATGATAGAAAAGACTTAAACTAATCATTCAAAATGTTTATCACGATTATAAGAGCTTTACTAAACAAATTGTATAAAAATCATAATAATATTTCATAATAATTGGGTCTTGAATTCTGGGGGCCTCAAGAGGTATTTTAAAATATGTTCCTCTGGTCCTATTTATAAAGCACTTCCAACATATTTTACACAGACAAAAAAAAACCTTAAACTTCATTAACTCTTATTTAAAATTTAATAAATTTTTAACTTTATTCCTATTTAATATATATTATACCTCATATAAACAAAGTCAGCACAATAATAAATGAAGGGTAAAATTGTACATCCATAAAAAAAAATCTCTCAATACCCTATAAATAGGACCAAAAAATACCTTCTCTCTCTACCCTATAAATAGGACCAAAAGAGTATGTGTGTATAATATATAATTTTAAAAAAAATAATTCATGTCGTTTTTTCTTTTACGGGGTCCTTATAATTTCTTATATGAAATATTAATATTTTATTAATTTATAAGTGGTGGTAGTAATAGTTGATAACATTATTCTCACTTAACAACTCACGTATTAACTTTTTGACATCAATCTAAATAAAATCAAAATCAACCATATTATTATTATTTTTCCAACGAAAATCAACCAGATTATAGATTACTAGTATATATAAATGCAACGAAATGATCATGAGCATAATAATTTTTCATTTTTATAATGATAGTAAATAAATTTTATTCTACTTATATTGTGTGGCAAGTTATTTATAATTACATCTACAATACCTTCTCTGTCTTCTTTCACATGGTATTGCTAAACATGAGAAATAAATTATCTTTTTCGGAAATTTTTAAACATATCTTTCTACTTTCACACTATTCAACATATCATCCAATATCTCCCTGCAATAAATTTTTATTATTATTTCTCATGTACTTCATGTATAAATAAAGATATAATTAAAAATATACATTACAAATTTATTGTTTTTAATCAAATTAAAGTAACAAACATTGTAATTTTGATAATTATTTTTTCTAATAAGTGACGCAGCCAGAGAGTACTTAACAAATTATCAGCATAATAACAAATATTTGGAATTGAGAAACCATAACAACTTTTTTTTGACTTGAGAAACTCTAACAACTCAAAAAAAAAATTTATGGTTTAGCTTCATTTTTGTGGAACTTAAACGTTGCAGCTTGTTTTCAGAAAATAAGTGACACAGTAACAGTGACAATGCGAGACTGTATGCTTTGTGGTAGGCCCAGTCGTTTGACAAATGAACTTTGAATTGAAAGAGAAATCTTATCTTATAAGTTTTAATTTAGATTTATCTCAATATTAATTTTTAATTTTTTTTGCCACACTCTCTCATTATATGTTTTATACATTCTCTTTCATCTTTTTTTCCTATTTATGATAAGGATATATTTAAAAACAAAAATATACTTCTTACCAATTTATTACTTTTAATTAATTTTAATTTATAAATTTATAAATTATAAGGTGATTACATGAAACTTGGGGGGAAAAAAAAAGGACCAAAATGAGTACTGCCAATCCCGCGGGAGCATCGTCACGTGTCCACTCTCTTATCCTTTCCCCGCCAAGCTGCTTTTTGGCTGTCAAAGTTGTCGACTTTCAAAAGCTGATTCCATTTTCATTTCAACATCAGAGTCCGTTTCTTAAGTGACCAATAATCAGCAAAGCCATCATAATGACTGGGAAGAAACCAATGCGTCGCTATCGATTGTGGGATTAGGTTCACACGTAATAATGACAGAAGCTTGCAAAAAATCTCAGCCCAAGTCGTCATTCTCCCTTCCCCACGACAAGAGCATGGGGTCCAACTTTTTGACTGATACACTCTTTTTTGATCTAATTTTTTAAAATATATTTATCTCTTTTTATAAAATTATTTTTGAGTTTATCTAAACATTTCATATATTATTACCTATTTTATTCCTAATTTAATATATTTAATAATTTTTTTTATTTATCTTATTATTACTCTCTCATATCTATCTATTTATATATAAAGGTATATTTGGAAAAAAAATTATATTTGTTATAATTGTTTAGTTAAAAAAATTTTATGATAAGAGAAGGAATAGTACTGTGTCTTGATGTTTTATATCCATGACGATCCCAATAATGAGGATAACTGCTTCGCCAGGTGGTGAACTCCGAACACCGTCTAAACTAAGCCTAGGTATCTTTGTTTATGATTCTCGTGTCCCAATATTTTGGTGAGAAACTCTGCCGATGTCCACTTTGTCTGGGTGGATAAGACCAAGTTTCGAATTTCCACAAGCGTCTTGTGCTTTGGTTATTGAGGGATCAGTTAGCTTTCCCAGTCTATGACAGGCATTTTCAGTTCTTCTTGCTCTCGCATGCAATAAACTTGCATTGTTTTTATATTAAGTTTGTCTGGACACAATTTTCAACTTGATCATTTTCAATTCATGGAAACTATATATTTCCTTTCAGTTTGTATAATGTCAAATTGAAATTCAGACAGTACTACTTACGTATTATCTCCGGTTATGGAAAAATTTGATATAGAGCAGCTCTGAAGTTTGTGAGCGTCTGATTGAACTCATTGATTCATGCATATTTAATGGTTACTATGAACGTTTTGTTCTCCCTTCTTCTCTAATCATAGTAGAAGAATCAGTTTTGAGGGGTGTTAGCCGTTGCTTCAACTGTGTTGTTTTCCTGTTTGAAGGGAATGCTTAATACCATTGCTGTTCTTTGGCTAGGAATAGTCTCAATAAAATTAAATGGTCTTTGGTTTTTAGTCTAATGCTGTTTACTTTCATGTTCCTTCACGATCAACATTAAAGTGGCAGCTCCTTTTCCCATTTAGGGCATGACAGACTCAACAAGTTCAGCAGAAACTGTCCCACCAGCGGTTGCTGAGAATGGAGTCCGAGAAGTTAGACTATTAGCATCAACTGATGATGACTACAATGGTGTTATGGTTGAAATGGACGAGCCTATGGATCCCGCAACCTTCATGCCGATTCTTAGAGCTTCAATTTCACATTGGAGACAGCTGGTAGCCTTTCGTATTATTTTTATGCTGTTGTTCATTTTTCCCTCTTTGATTTCATTTGTTTGATGAATACTTGCTTGTGACAGTAGAACCAGACATGAGGCTTTTTCTATAGCTAGATATGCATTATTCATGCTTTATGTTATGGCTGTGCTATGAGAGAGCAAGGAAAGGAAGCATGCAAATTGGGTTCTACGAGATTGTGATGCATACTGTTTGGATATCTTCTTCCTCTTTCCTCTTCTCATGTTAGTTTCATGCAAAAGCAGATGAAATACAGGGGTTTTTCCTTGAGAAATTACGTACTGTTTCTGCTTCATGTTATAGTTCAGGTCAACAAAAACCCGTAGAGTGGTGTATTTTTTTCATCTCTTATTGATTATGCAGAACTTACTATTTGTTTCACTTGGCCGTGATATGTGAAGTTCACTCTCCCAAATTCTTTTCTGTTCAGCTTCCTCAATTGGTTGTGTGCTTGAGATATTTTAACATTACTGGAAACAATTAGTAGAAATCTTTTGAACAGACAAATAAAAGCTTGCCACTTATCAATCATATGATACAAACTTGTATCACACAAGAATTGGCTCATGACACCAAAAGGGCTTTTTTTCGGTACAATGATATGCTTGCCCTGAGGGAATCAAGAACCCACCAGTGTCTTAATCCTGTATAGTTGATGAATCAACTTTGTCTGACAGGGCAAGAAAACCGTCTGGATAAAGTTACCTATACATCAAGCCTGTCTTGTTGAACCTCTGGTTAAGGTACCCTTGTGCTTGAGAAGTTTGATCAAGAAGAAAACTTTTTGGTCATTATTTGCTGTGCATTTTTGTAAATTTACGACTGGTTCTATGGCTCTTCTGTACAGGAGGGATTTCGGTATCACCATGCAGAACCAGAGTATTTAATGCTTGTATACTGGCTACCTGAAACTGCAAGTAATATTCCGGCAAACGCCACACATCGTGTATGTGTTGGTGGATTTGTCATGAAAGAAAAACAAAAGGTATTTCCCCTGCTATATGTCAATATATAGCGAAGTTGCACAATGAATCTCACAAGTGAATAGGAAAAGCTTCCTCACAATTCTAAGGCTGTGATCAGTATTATATTGCCTATGTCCTTCCGTGCGAAAAAGCGAGTGGGAAGAATTCTAAAAATGTAGTTCTATTTTGCATTGTGTGATTAATGTTGTATTCTCTATTTTTTTACTAGATCTTAGTGGTTCAAGAAAAAAGTGGACCTTTTTGGAAACCTGGAGTCTGGAAATTCCCCACTGGATCTGTTGACCAGGTAAACATGTAGTTCATCGGCTCATTGCAGAGTAAGAAGTAATGATGGGCGTGTAAAATTTACTTAGTTTGACTTATCCAGGGAGAAGATATATGTGCAGCGGTAATAAGAGAGGTCAAAGAAGAAACAGGAGTAAGTATTCTGATTATGGTAGCTATAAACTGTAGAAGAAGTAAACTCTATACGCACGCACGCACACACACACACATATATGCCTAAGTTTTTGTGGCTTTCTCAATTTGCAGATTGACACAGAATTTTTGGAAGTGTTAGCCTTAAGGTAGATACAAATTGTTCTGTTTTTTTTTTTTTTTTGGGATTGGAATCTGCAAGTTTAGGAGCTGCTAAACATCTCTTTCTTCTTTCATCAGACAAACTCCAAAGTCATACTTAATTACGAAGTCAGAGTTATTCATCTTGTGCATGCTGCGCCCTCGTTCTTTTAAGATCCAAGTGCAAGAACAAGAGATAAGAGCTGCCCAGGTGCATAATTTTCTGGCAACCTAAATACTTCATGTCAAAAGTAAATGCTTATCGTACTTTTTAACAGGGATAGAGAAGGAAAGGAAACAAGCGATGAGTTTAAAACTGAATTGTTTGTCCCATCACACTAAATCACATTGTAGTTGGAGTTATGTTCTGCTTAATATAATGTAAGTATTGGGGGGAAAAAAACAGAATGATTATTACAGCCAAAGGTAGGAAGATTGTTTAGTAGACTAGCGGATCACTGGAACTATGTAGTAGGCTCTAGGAATAATGAATAATGAAACTTTCTGACCCTCAAGTTTGCCTCAGTTATCAACATGGTCCTTGAAGTTTAATCTTTCATCAATCATATCCCTATAATTTCATAACCATATACAACCAGTCTTTATGGTTTGAAAATATATAGTCCCTCACACACGTGGTATAACCTCGAAGGTGGCAACTTCTTCATGGATTGCAGAAAAAATTGCTGGTACGATGAGGTCAAATAAGAATATGAAATTGTGCATGAAACTTTAGGGATTTGATTAATAAGGTTAAACTTGAAGGACCAAACTGATAGTATATCATACTTATGCCGTCTTGTCTTGCTGTATAGTGGATGCCTTTTGAGGAATATGCAGCTCAGCCACTCAATCAGAAGAACAAGTTTGTGAAGCAGATGGATGAAGTGTGCAGGGCAAAAATGCGCGGCCATTATTCTGGGTTTAATGTAGTTCCTTCATCTTCACCCTTCCCTGACAGAGAGAGTTTCATGTACTTGACCTCAAATGTAAAGAAGAAGAAGAAGAAGAAGAAGAAAATGATTCACCAGAAATGTTAACCATCATAAAAAGACTTAATCAGAGAAGAGGAGGGGAGAGAAGAGGAGGGGACAGATTTTAATAGAGGAAAGGGAAAGGAAGGAGAGGAGAGTAGAAAGGTTTTAATATTATTTTATTTAGATTTATTAAAAGAGAAGGGAGGAGAGGAATTTTAATATTACCTTATTTGGTTCACGAGAGAAGGGGACGGAAAAATATTTTGACATCGACAATTTTGTTTTTATTTTATTTAAGATTATTTTCTAAATTTTATAAAATGTTTAATAAAATAGAATTGTAAATAACATTTAATATATTGAACAATACATATACCAAAATTCTAATATACTCTAGAGCATGAATTATTATTGAAAAGAAGGCTAAAGTAATATTCAACCACTACTTATGCTGTATTGTATCTTTGAATGAAATATTTGGTTAAACAAATAAGCTCATTAGATGTGAGATCTCGTTTTTATCTATTTTTATCTTTATGGCTACAAAGCTCTGAAGATTTAAATTTTGACATATAAAATTATATATGTCAAAATTTAAATTCTTAAAATTTTGTTTATTGAATTGTTCATTTTATCTTTTCAAATTTTACATTTACATGCAAAAGAGAAAGCAATGTCTGGAGACAAAACAAAAAGGATTTAGCGTAGTATATGGATATTAAAAATAAATATGGGTATAATGGTTATAACATGACAAAATATTGTCTTTTCCCTCCAAATCATTCTTATTTTGGAGCGGAGGTTGAGGAGGGGAGGGGAAAGAAAATTTTTTCCCTCCCTTTCTAAAATTTGTGTGTTGCTAAAAAAGAGAAAATGATTAAAATTCTTCCCCCTCCCTCTCCTCCTCTCCAAATCCCTCATACTAAACACATCTTAAGCTAATCATTTCAAAATGTCTATATAATTATAAAAGCTTTACTAAACAAATTGTATGAAAACCATAATAATATTTCACAATAACTGGGTCTTGAATTCAAGGGACCTTAAGAGGTGTAATTCCCTTTAGACATTCACCAAGTTATGTATATAATTAAGAGAGAGATGAATATGTAATTTTGACCATACTAGTATTTTTCAATTACTCTCTCTAGTCATATACATATGCTAATGTAAATTAAAAGGTTAGTTAAAATTAGTTAAAAACAATGAATACATGAGAAACGTATTTATTTTAGATATACCTTTATTTATGAGAAAAAAATGAGTGGGAGAGGAAATGAGTGGAGTAAAAAGATGAAAGAGAATATGTGAAAAAAATATGAGAAAAAATCTACCAAAAGAAACAATATAATTAACCCCGCGGGGTTAGGTCGACTGGCTGGGGTCGTCCTAACTTAACCACGGATCTCAGGTTCGAGACGTAGGAACGCAGCACTCCAAGGGGCCAGGGGGCGCCATCCGTATGGATCCTTGCAAGCTCCCGAATCCGGATTAGTCTGGGGACGTTGTCACGGCTGAAAGACGCCTATTTCCCTGGGATACCGGATGGAGTAATCCAAAAAAAAATATAATTATTGGCCTACGGGGATAAAAATGAATAAAATTTTCAGATATATGTATATAAAGTATAACTTATAAAAAAGATCAATCATATTTCAAAAATTGTAGCTTATATATAAAACATAGTAAGTAGATATTTAATATAAGAGCTTGTTTAACTTTCGATTTAATCCTAAATATAAGACTCCAATCTACTTTGTATTTCATATTTATCTATTTTTTCAAAATAGTTCTTATACTAGTTACACATATTAAATATTTTATCAAATGATACTTCTAACCAATATACATGATTACTAAGGATATTCTAAGAATATAACACCTATTTATTATAAATAACTCACTTAACTATTTTTTTTATCTTTTTAAATTTATACGAAGGACTGAAGGTAATGTTTGATTCAAACTTGGGGGGAACTACTGTTATGATACCTACAAGTTTGCTTTGTTGAAAATAACCCATGACTTGGCTATTTCACATATGTGACGAAGAAGAGACTAGAGAGGAGTGGTGGGCCCCATTGCGATTCATGGGTGGAGGAAATTCTGTCTCTTTCCCACCACACTCTAATGTATTTACGTAGATTCTTCAACTTATCTTCCACAAAGTCATCAATTGATTTGATTATTCAATATTGGATTATATAAACTTTCAACTTGTTCTTTTGGCTCGTACTCATAATTTCAACACTCTCTCCTCTATCTCTTCATGGTCACCATTTCTGCTCTGACCCAGCTGGATACTTTTGACTGTCCATTCAACCTGTTATTTTACTATTCAAAGATATAATGATGAGTCTAGAGCTGGTAAAACGGGCCAACCCGCGGGTTGCGGGTTGGCCCGTGGCGGGTTGTGGGTTGTCCGGTGCGGGTTCAAAAGGCTCGTTTTCTGGCGGGTTGGCATTTTGCCAACCCTAACCCGTCAAGGTGGGTTGGCGGGCCAACCCACCAACCCGCCAAAATTTTATTTTTGTTTTTTTTTTTTTTTTTTTAAATTTTCTTATTTTTTTAAATGTTAGCAATTATATATAATACAAAATAAAAATACTAAAAATGATATAAAATATTAGAAACATCCAAATAAAAATTACAACACAATAAAATACAAATAGTATATGATTGTCCAATTTTCCAACATGATAATACACAAGTTCACACATTTTTTTTTCAATGAAACCAATGAGCAATATTGAATAACCTTATTTATCTAATTATTTCTAATGACAATAAAGTTTGAAGTAAAAATTTGCTTTACTTTTGTCTTTGTTATCTATTTTAAAAAAAAAAAAAAGGTGGGTTAACCCGCGGGTTGGCCCGCGGGTTGGCGGGCCAACCCGCCGCGGGTTAGGGTTATGGCGGTGCGGGCTCATATTTTTCAGGTGGTGGCGGGTTGGCCAAAGGCCAACCCTAACCCGCCTCTTTTGGCGGGTTGGCGGGTTCGACCCGCGGGTCCAACCCATATTACCGACTCTAGATGAGTCAACTTATTTTTTCAAATATAAATTATATGACCGTCGGTGGCATGCGAAGCATGAGGGATCAACCAAGGTCCAATATAATTAAACCCACGGAGAACTAATATTTTATCTTTATATGAAATATTTATCATCTCTTTGTAATCATTTCTACCGACTGTTATTAATGTAAAAACTATATAACTAATTTAAATATTTAAAAAAAATTAATTAAATTGATTATTTGTAATAAAAATTTGTTGGCTTCTTTAAAATACTTTATTTAATCATGTACATTTGAATTATCCTTCAATAGGAACCTTTTACAATTAATAGGATCATTTTGAAGGAAAAAATATAAAATAAGAAGACAAAGTAGTTGAAGATTTAGGATCAATTCCAACCCTCAAGCCTCCACCAGCTCTTATATTAAAAATCAAATGTAATACTCCTCCGGTCCTAATTATAAGACCCAATTGACTTATTTGATGAGATTAAGGAAGTAAGTTAAGTTGGTTATTTATAATAAATAAGTGTTGTCATTCCTAAAATATCCTTGCTAATTAAGTATATTGGCTAAAACTATCATTATTAGAAGGATTATCTTGGAAAAAAAGGTATAAATATAAGAGACAAAATGGATTGGGATCTTATAATTAGGACCAAATAAAAAGTCAAATGGGGTCTTATAATAAGGACTGAAGAAGTAATTAATAAGAAAAAACTTAGGTCAAGTTTCTTATGTATATTATGTCAAGTTTTCCAATCAAACAGGGTCATGTATCTTTTTTTATTTCACATGTACTTATAATTAAATGCTATTAAATGCTAATATTTAAAAAGTCATGTTTGATTGAAGAACTTGACATCATAGATATAAAAAAATTGGTGTAAATATTATCCTAATTAATACTCCTATAATCTTTGATATAAAACCTAATTAATTGTATTTTTTTCTTAAACCATATGAAATAAGTCTTACAAATATAGGACTAATATCAACTCTCTAATTTAGTTCTATATTAAGCACAATCGGAGTAACATCTATATTTTAGAGCCATATATATGATTTCACATTTGAAACTTTTCTTTTAAAAATTTCATTCCACATTCTCATTTCTCAATTCCCCCTGGGCAATGAAAATAATGACCTCAACGGACCAAACTTTGCTACTTGGCATGGGTTTGAAAATAAATGGGCTTATATTTATAGGAGGCCTGGAAACCCATGTTTGCCCAAAATCACAGTATGGGATTATCCGATTATGCCCCCTTTCAGAGGAGTTTGGCCAATCCAAAAATACTTAAAATACAGAATTATGTTCATATTAATATTAAGAAAATATTTGGGCTCTAGCCCTCCTTATTAAAAAAATATATTTAAATAGAAAGATTTGATTTTTTGTTCTTCTGAATCTCATATGATAAACCCGTTTAGTTTATAAATCCCCAATCGCAACACGGCTCATCCAGCAAGAAGGTATATTATCTTACCCGCCCAAACTATAACGAAGATCGCATGGTTTGGAAAAATTGCATGCAGAGACCAAATTGAACGCAGTAGTTAAATTACAAGGATTAAATATTTAATTTTTATTAGAAAATATGGTAAAATGAATAGAAATCATTAACATGTAAAAGAGATTATATGTATTATTCTATATATGCTTTTGACAACTTTAATAAAATCAGATATTTTATAGGTGATCGTGCTAAATGTATGCATCTTACAATTAAGTTAAAAGTTGTATAAGAACTCTGATCATTCCCATTTGCTAAATCACTGCCCATAATTTTTGCATTCTCAACGATGAAAGCTATTCATAAACATTAATTTCCACCCATATATATATATAACATAAAAATCTTTAAAGAGAAAATAGTACACAGAAAAATGAAGACGAAATAAACGTACGTATATCATTTGTATTGTAGGATCAAATGTTCGTAAACTTTTCTGTATATGGACACGAATATTTTAGTATGAAACAAGTAATAAAGAGGGAAGAAATTAAAGAAAGTAACAAAATAAAAGTGTCAAACTCAAAACTTGCCTCTGGAATATCAATCTCTGTGCTTCGTATTAGTAAATATTAACCAGAATGAGAGCGGTCAAGTCTTGAAAATCCTCAGCAGTCCCAACCCTAAGAATCCCATTTGGATAGTCGCCGTCCCTCGTCTCGCTACGCCGCCCTTCCGTCACAGCGCTGGTACTCGTCCCCGCCATCGCCTTATACGCCGCCTCAAAAGGCTTCATATACTTTTGCAGGTAAATCTGGAGTGGTTCCACGTAATCATCGAATCCGAGGTGAGCCAGCGCCGAGATGATGCCGTCGCCGGTGAGCGTGAAGTCCTTATTGTTCTTGACGGCTTCGCTGGTGATGAAGACGATGAACTCCGTCGAGCATTGTTCGACCATTTCTTTCACTTCTTTAGAGATCCTCGTCTTTGGCGGTAACACCTTCTTCATGGTATCTCCGACTTTCGTAAGCGAAAAGGTTCGCTCTCTTCCGCCGCTGCCTCTGCCGGCTGAGTTTCGCTGATCCCTTGACGCGGCCATTGAGTCTTCTGCGCTTCAAGAATGTTGCTTTCACCGGCGAAATCAATACAGGAGGCTGGCGTATTAAGTTGTAATTAAGAGTAGTATTCTTTGCGGTAAAGGTAATTTAAATTTTTTAAAGAAAAGAGAATATAAAGATAAAAATAAAATTATATTTCTACTCATTATAAGCATAAAAATTTCTAACTATTAACATTCTCAAATAATAACATATTAAGTTTAAATTTTAAAAATCATAATTGTTAAAAAAAACTATTATTTAAGACTAATGATTTTATGGTTAAAAAAACTAAAAATATACTTTTTAAAATTAAGAGGCTAAATTAAACTTTATATAAAATTAAAAAACTAAATGTTTCATTTAAGTTATAATTAATGGCAATTCCCAACATGCATTGCGGATAAGTCTTTTGAAACGGGTGAGCCAAGAACGTCAAGAACAACATTTCTTTTTAACTACGTCGCACGCATCAAATATGAAACTCAATAAGATAATACCGATTCGAAAGAAAAAGATTGAAACCCTAAGATCGATCGTCTACATAATTCACCATGAAGATCCATTTCCAAATACCCAAACCCCTCGTCATTTAACCATCTAATCACGTTTTGTGGTAGTGGTAATCCTAGCTGCATCACGCATCATATCTTAAGTACTCTTTCTAATCTTTAATATAAAAGTTAGTTTTAATTTTTATTTTAGTCCTAAATATAAAATTCTAATTCACTTTATCTCTCATACATATTTATCTATTTTTTAATGTAGTCTTTATAATAATAGTAGTTTTAACTAATGCATTTGATTACCAAGAATATTTCAGGAAAGAGAACATTTATTTATTACAAATAATTCACTTAACTAATTTTTTTAATCTACTTAAATTAGTTAACTAACTTTTATATTAAGGATCGAAAGTAGTATTATCTAGTGATCATGCCATGCACATCAAAGAATTTAACATGCAACTTAATGTTCTTCGCATGCATTTTTTGTCAAAACAAATCCATAGTATAGCTCTACATATTCAGTTTCGTTGGCTAATATAAATATATATATATATATATATATTTTGCTTTTGCCAACACGTTGGCTAATGCAAATATATTCTTGTTTAGTAAATGCATATGAAGTTGGTCGATGCCTTCGGTTAAAATTAAATTGGCGCGCAAATGATCTATAAGCTAAATAATGTTGTTTAAATATAACTATGAGACTTATCTTCATTATAATAATACACCCATGGACATATGGCATGCATCAAATTAAACTCATTAAAAAAAAATATTTTCTTTCAGAATTTAAGGGGAAAATACCGCAATATATAAAAAGCACAAAATGTGGAGGTTAATGGTACGACATGCCCGTTATTTTTGTCTCCCTTGTATTATTAGCTTCTTAACAGCTAACATATTTCCTTTACTAACATTTTCCTCTAATTTAAGCCGCAAAAATATTAAAAATATCCGCACCAACCCTTAATATATGGGAGAACTCATATCTTAAATACTCATTTAAAAGAAAAAAAGTAAATTATAACTACATCATTATATCTAGAATAATAATAAACCCGATCAAATATTTTTTATATCAGTGTAAATATATTCATTAATCCTAAATGTCACATAATTAATAACACCCCAAACTTAATTAAGTTGGAAATATGCACGAATTCTATGGGATATTAATTTCATCAGTATTCATAATCTCTGCATTCTCAACAGCAAATGTCACATTACTTACAACGAACTGATCGTGATTTTCTTTTAATCTCATAAACCTCAGAAACATTAATGAAGTTCCAATATAACAGTCCTTTTAAATTTCTCTGTTAATAAAGTGGCAACATGGGCATAAAATATATTTAAAGAAATTAATTTTAAAAAAAAAGAAAGCAAACAGAAATTAAAAGGAGTATCCCAGGCTTGCTTTGGAGAATCAGGTTAATTTCTACCTTGCTTCAAGAACGTTGTACACACTTCACATATCAGTAGTTCAATATAACGATCCCCTAATAAGCGTCTCTGTATCTTCAAAATTGATGAACTTGCCGATTGGAAAGAGAAAGACTGAAACCCTAAGGTCGATCGTCTACATACTATTTCACCCTGAAGATCCATTTCCAGATTCAAACGCGTCCAAGTTCAACCACTTAAGCACGTCGTCTTCGTCGAAGTCGAAGTCGCCACCGCCGGCGGTCTGCTTTTGTTGCCTCTCTCCCATTACAGCGTCAGTCTTCTCCTTTTCCTCCGTCTCCCTGCGATTCGGATCCCCGTCGTTGCCGGCACCGATAATCCTCTGTTGGCCTCCTCCCATCCCAGCATCACCAGCTATCTCCGGCTCCTCCTCCATATCATCAGGATTGTCGTCACCATCAGCAGCGCCGCCAGTTATCTCCGCATCTTCCTCCTGTGCATCATCGCTATCGCCGTCTATCCAAACGGCCATCTGGCGTTGATTCTCGTCCCACTCCCTATACTTGTAAAGGTATCTAGCGAGTAATGTGCTGTACATGTGGAATCCCATGAGGTCCATGGCTTGGAGGATGTCGTCGCCGGTAAGGCTTCTGCGTTCATCGGTGTTAGGGAAGTTTTGGTGGGCGCCGGACATGATGAAAAAGATGAACTCCGTCGCGGACACTTGCACCAATTCTTTCGCATCTTGAGTGATCCTCGTGCCATCTGGTAAGACCTTCTTCATGATCCTTGTGATGTTAGCCATCGTAAACAGCATGTTTTCATCTAAGACTCTGACGTCACCACCACCGCTTCCGCCTGCGGTTGCCTGAGCCGCTGACTCGGGCTCTAACTCGGCCATCCACTAGCTCTCTCTGCTTCAACGGTCTTTCAACAAACTCCACTTTACTATAATGAAATATGAATTACGCACACAGTAACTAAAATAGCTTATTAGCTAGTTTATATACACATTGTTATAAGTTAGTTATGAAGAAGAAAATATATATTAAGTTAATTCAGTTTTAACGGTTTTCACATTCTTGAGTCTTTTTTTTTTGGTCAAAACATTCTTGAGTCACTTGGCAAAAAAGCCATTAATAAGAACGAGGATTATTATTTGAATATAAATATGTGATATTTAATTTCTAAAAATTAAAATTTTGAGTAACTAAAGTGAATCTAGGATCAAGCTGTTTTATACATTGAAGGAATTAATATGTAGTAATGATTATGCAAATAATATTTTAAAAGACAAATTACCAATAATTCTAAGTTATACTCCCTCCGTTCCTTATTATAAGAGACAAATAACCGAATTACGTTGATCAAAAAAACAGTTAAAGTTAGTTAAGAACAATTAATGTATAAAAAGTATAATTTTTTTCCAAAAATGCCCTCATTAATAAGGAGAGAGAGCATGAGAGAGAATAATTAAATTATTAAAAGAAAGAGAAGTGGGAGGGAGAGAGAGTGTGAGTTGGAGATAATAAATATGGGTAAAATAGTAAATCAATACAAAAAAGTAGAGACAACTTGTAAGTGTCTCTTATATATAGGAACATGGCATAAGCATCAAGTGTCTCTTATAATAAGGAACGGAGGGAGTAGTATGTTATTTGAATAAATAGTACCTAATTAATCGTTAACCGCAAATCAAAATATCCTTTTGCGAAGCCATGGAAGAGAGGAGGCTAATAGTTATATTCTCATTTATATCCTAGCCTCTCAAATGGCTCTTACAGATGTTTTATTTTCTGGTGATGGCTATGCTATGCAAATTAAAGCAATTTAAAAAAAAATGCTAATTTAACATTGTCAAAACAAATTTTCATATTTACAAAAGTTGAGTAAGGGGTGTCTGGATAAAAAAAACACTTTTAAAAAGTGTTTTCGTGTAAATTGAGACAAGTCTCATCTTATATATTATTTCATATTTCATAAAATCATTTTTAAAATTGTAGTTTGATTTTTATCCAAACATCCTCTTAATAAATTGCTTAGAATCTAAATATTTAAACGAGATTCGGAGGACTTGTTAGTATGTAATTTTTTTCGCCTGAAACTTGCATGAGTTATTTTCTCCTATCTAAACGACATGTAAGAATTAATGTTGAAAGAATTAGCATTGAAAAATGTCAAAATTTAAGTATCATTATCAACTAAGGGCTAACCTTTTTCACTAAATCGGTAAGGTTAGTATGATTAAAAAAAATTTATAAGCTACTTCTATAAATATTGGAGATCATTCAAAGTTTCTTGTGATGGTTTGGACTCTAGACAGTTAAATTATAGAGTCGAGACGCAAGGGAGAATGATGTAACTTAAAAATGAGACCAAAATAGCGTCTTAGAGGTTTATCGGGCCAAGCCCAAGTTTTTCGGCCCAATATCCAGGCATACATTTTCCCGTCGTGAGAAAATATTTGTGGAAATATCTAAATTATTGGGACATGTCGATGAGAGAGGCTTGGAATCAAAAAACAATGGTGATCCCTTATGAGAACAAGGACTTGCTTCCTCACCCCGGGAGTGATGACGTGGCCATTGCTTCAGAGAAATATCTAACTAATATAATTTCTTTTGAAAAAAATTTATAAAACATGAAAATATATAAGAAGATAAGGAGAGATGATATAGTTGATAATAAGCTTTGGAAATTAGAACCAAAATCCCAATTTAAAAAAAAAGGTATTATTGCGATATAAGGAATTGCGAAGTGACTCAAATGCCAATCATCGCAAGAACGATGTGGGGGCATGTCTGCAAACCCCCATGGAAGGAAAGAGGTTATGGGAATGCGGGGAGAAGGAGGAGGAGGAAAAATAACTGTTAAGGGTGTTTTAATCTTTTTATACTCATCATTTTTTACTCTTTTTGATCCCGCATATATAAAGTAGATAACTGTAATATTTGGATTTTAAAAAAGTTGATTAAATTAGTTATTGTAATACATGTCTATTAGTTTCTTTAAAATACTCCATCTTATTGTTATTCTATTGATGAAAATCCTTTTTTCATACATACATTCAATAGGAATAGGTGAAGAAAAATTTTATAAAGTTGAAAGACAAAATAAATTAAAATATTATATTTAAGACCAAAACAAATATCCCAATCAGCTCCTATATATATTTAGAAAAAAAGGTAATAATAAAAAAATTGGCTTACATAATCATTCTATATACTTATATATATATATTACTTATATATATTACTTTCGGTCTTAATTATTAAATTATAAAACCTACTTTATAGCTTATAAATGAAGTCTTATCATTATAAAATTTACAAACAAGATTTTATAATTATGATTTGATGTAATGTGTGCGTGCGTGTGTCTATATAATACGGGTGTTTTGCAGATTTTTCATTTTAATAAATCCGTACAGTTTCTCGTCACAAAGTTGGCCATATCAATTCGCTGTAGATTATCAAAATTATTGCTGTTGCTTTATGTTATATATTCCCATATATATATATAATGTCCTGTCAAATTAATTAATTTAATTAACAAGATTTTGCTTCGCATTAATTCACTATTATATAATCCATTTTAAACATTTCTGCCGTCATTTTCATGTATCCGCTCAGCCATAATTACTTGCTATAATCTTTCTTTCCAAGCCAGTACCTATTCTTTTATAAGTTTTAGATATAAAATATCAAAAATCTCAGTTAAGGCATGAGCTAGCGTATATGTTGTTCTTCTTGCATTTAATTTTTAAAAACAACGAACCAAAATGTGTCGCTCTCTTTTGTTTAATTACGAGAACGAAAGACGGTCATATTAATTAATAAAAACAACATGAAAGTGAAGGGATTAATTCTGAATAAATGTCATAATTGTTTCAACCAATTATGAGGGAAATGGAGGGAAAGAGAGAGGAGAAGAAAATTAATAATTCATCTGAAACAATTGAAAATTTATGATTATAAAATTTTAATAGAAGATGCAGGATAAAATAGTAAGAAAAATTAATTAAAAAAATCAAACTCACTTCTTCAATTTTTCCAAATCAATATCATTAAAATTTTCTTTCTCTCTCATTCTTTTTTTCTCATACCAAACATATTGTGTTATCAGAATCATCCATTTTTTCCTAAAAATTTATAACAAGAATTGGAGGGAGAATATGAAATTATATATAAATAAAGAGCTAAAATGACAGTAAATTTTATATACCATGCGTGTATATAAATGAGATTAATTAAGTAGAGAGAATAATTGAAAGCGACAATATTAGAGAGAGAGAGAGAGAGAGAGAGAGAAGGGATAGTTGGGATGGGTTGAGAAAAGGGAGAAAGAGGGTTTGAATTTAGCTTAGCTGCCAAGGTTGAGTCAAAAACATACGTGTACGTTATTACTTAACTCAAGCAATTGTAAATAATGCTTTGTTTTGCCTTTACACCACAAAAATTCTGTTAATTATAATAAAGTGAATTAACTTTCTCTAATTAATTAAAGAATATTCTTAATTAAATAAACTATATGTTTGTGGCAGAAGGGTAGGCTACCAACTTAGTTAATACCCTAGCCTTAACTTCCCTTCCCAACTTCCAACTTCTTTTCCTTCTCTTCTTGGTCACCTAACTTCCCATTTTACCCTCCTCTCTTCTTTATTCCTTGTTCAAATACATTCAAGTGAACCAACTTTAATTAGTCCTTATCTTTTCTCAAGTATTTAGTTAAACTATAGTTTTAGTGCCACTTTGATTTTATTTTTATAAATCACTTCCAACATATTTTACAAAAATTAAAAAAAATCTTGAAACTCATTTGATTCAATCTAAAAATTTAATATGTTTCTAACTTTTTTTCCTATTAAATATGCATACTTTAAGAATTAAATAACATGCACCAACATTTAATAAGAGGTAAAACTAGTGATACAAAATTAATGACATGTTTTATAATTAAGAGAAATTTTGTTTTCATGATCAGAACCAAAGTGATACATTACTATTTTGACAAAAAATTGTTTATCTTATTTAAAATTATTCCATATTTATACTCCAAATATATATGAATTGGTCATTTATTTCCTTCTATTGCTCTATATTATTGACAATTTTGTATAAGTGCACTGTAAGGATCTACTGAAAAAATCGGGAAAAGTGCACACATAAAGTTTTTCCTATGGATTTCACCCAAACCCCAAACTTTATTATTTTAGTTAAAAAAAACACAGGAAATCTTAAATTAAAAAACTTTCTAAGAAGTGAGTGATTAATATTGTTTACCACGCATGCATGGTTTGGTTATCCGTAAGTAACAGCATTATATTATGTGGTGAGAAAACTTGTAATGGAAGGCTTACAAATATGTTTAAAATTGAATTCCATTACGTAAATATAATATAATAAAGTCAAACCAATAAGGGCAAAAGCGTAACTTGAACGATCAATGGGATTGCCTCCTGAAGGCATTGCTTATATATATCTTCCTGCCGTGTTGGGTTTGAATATCTTACGTAACACAAATAAGCGCCAACAAGAAGATGATGACTAACTTTTGCGGCTCTCACGCCCTTGTGATGCTCCTTCTTAACCTCTGCTTCATCTTCTTCCTTCTTCAATCTCCAGCGCCGGCATTAGCCGCCGGAGAGGATGTGGATGGAGATATGTCGGAGTTACTGAGCAGAGAAGAGATGGTGCAGATGGCTGGATATGGAGAGGAGAAGCTTTCCACAGTGCTTGTGACAGGATCTGTTCATTGTGATGCCCATAATTTGCATGGAAAAGCCGATGAGCTTCATGCATGGCCAATTCCAGGTACCTACATAAACATATCTCAAACCCTTTTGCTTTTTCTGCGGCGGCTCGTTCTTCTCTAAATTCTGCAGTTTCTGCAGCGCGAGCATACATATATATGGTGTTCATATTTCATCAAACTCACAACTTATATTACTTTTATTACTTCTCTAATCTTTAATATAAAACCTAATTAATTAATTTAAATAGATTACAGCTGTTAATTAGATTAGTTAATATGATATATTTTTTACAGAACATCCTAACTATTTTTCTTAATTCTGTTCCTACTTCTCCTACTTGTTAAGAGGTTCCCAGGAGAAAAATAAACTCAATTCTCATTTATCCAAATATCTAACAGCATGAATATTTCTTAGGCTTTCGCACGTCTTTATTGAACATGTTGGTATATGCTATCAATTACTTTCTCTTGTGTGTGTTTGGAATCACTTTTAGTTGTTCTGCCAAAAATGTTATCCATATATTCTGCTCAATCCAAACACAGCATTAAAATTTAATTTCCTTTGATGATGATCTCTTCCCATCTCTTCAATCTGGATATGCTGAAGTGTTTTTTTTATTTCCTTAAAAGGATTGAAAACAAGGTTCTTACATATTACTCCCTCTAAGATCTAGCTTGTTTTTCAAATTGAACTACAAACTTAATGTTTATATGTTGTTGTGGTTTTTTGGGTTATTAATATATATGCGTAAATTAAAAACCGGAAAGAAGATATGCTGTTATATCAGAGAGCTATATGCAAGCTAATCACTAATAGTCATGTGTTTGCTTTTAGTTTGGGAAAATTAATTCACTGTAACAACACAAACACGTACATTAGTATATGTCAGTTACTACATTAATTAAGGATTATGTCAAGATTAAGATGTTGTACTAAGGTTAACAATATATATATGCTTCAAATTAAAGCAGTGAACTTACTGTGTAGATCTCGAGAGCTGTTGGCGTTTCACTATTAATTTGGTGACAATATTGAGTAATTTTGCTTTCTGGTTTTTGGTGAAACTTCAATTTTGAAGAAGAAACACACACACACACACAGACGTATATATTTGTGTGTGTTGTCTCATATTCACTCAATCATATTGCAGACTAATTAAGGCTAAACTGCTTCAAAAAGAATGATCTGCATGGAGGATAGAAAGAAAATGATAGCAAACCAAACAAAAATTAGAATATATATATATATATATATATATAGAAATCTAAAATATCACTGAAAGAATTGAGTTAATTCTCATCCTTAAATCTTAAGCGATACTGCAAAAATGAGACAACAACAGGAGCACGTGGTTTGTATTAAGGAAAGTGAAGATGTTCGAATGGTATTTGATTTTTGTTAATATCATAAGCGACACATCGCTGAGAATAATAAATATTGATTAGATATAATAAAGGGGTTTCAAAATCATAGTTAACGTCGGAAAACCCATAGCATTAAATTAACAATTATGATAGGTCACCATCAGTATTTTAGTCAGATGTTGCCCAACTTTACAGGTTTAAATGTTTGAGTCACCTTCTCTTAGACGTTGATGAACCGAAGGAGCAGGAAACAAGGTTCAAGGGTGAAATGGAACTAAAACATCGATCTGAACTTTAATTTAAGACAGTTAAGCTCTGTTCGGTTAATTATACCATAAGAACGGTCTCTTTCCAATCTAGAGAAATGACGTATACAATATTTATTGTCATATTTGAATGTTGGGTAGAAAGATAATTCTTGTCTATGATCTTTTTGAAGGACGTTACTTTATCATTTTAATTATTACTTAGATAACAACATTTATTTTTTAATCTTCAAAAGCACTGATGGCAAAAATATTTATCATTCACCCTCAAAATCAATCTTTATTGCGTTTTTTTTGTTTACTGTACCCAAAAAATCATTACACTTCTCTTATTTTATTTGTAAATCGGAGAGAGAAAAATCTTTTTAATTTATTTATAAGTCATATCATTAAACTTTTTTACATCAAAATATAATTTTGCACCTCACTTATTATTGGAAAGTGTCTATATTAAAGAGATAGAGGTAAGAATATTGAAAAGTTATTAAATTTTAAAATAGGGCTAATGATGTCGAAAGTTCTTTTTTTTATTTTTTGGTTGCAGTAAAACACACTAGAAGTGACTTCTAAATAAAATTAAAAAAGTGTTTTTAATTACTGTTTCTGGTCCTAAATTATTAATTTGGCTCGACAAATTTATTTCTGGAGCGATTTAAACACTCAAAAATTCTCAAACTTATGCAGGGGCTTTGGTGGCCGTCAATTGCGACAGCTACGGCGGCCGGGGGGGAGGAAAGTCGACGGTAGCAAAAGGTGTAACGGATGAATATGGAGACTTCATGATCGATATTCCTTCACACTTGCATGCAATTCCCAACTTGGAAAAAATATGCAGAGTCAAAGTTCAGCAGATCCCAAGGAACTCACGGTGCCAGCCAGCTTATATCAAGAGACACAAGAAACTCGTATTATCAACTTTTGGGAATGGCATTCGAACTTACAGTGCCGGCAACTTCAGATTCCAGCATTCCGCTTCCAAGCCCTTGCATGGATAAACACAGAGAGGAAGCAATATAGCAGATTAAATCAATCATGAACAAGTCTCAGATATGTGCTTTCAAATATCTGATATGTTTGTTTATGATTGACCTGCTTTTCGTATATTTTGTAAATTAAATGTGAGACAGTCTTATATATAGTCTTACAAGGAAGAGTCCCATGGCTCACTTAGATGGCGCTCTAGTCACAGTATTGAGTTGCATGGATTTTAAACATTATGGTAAAGAAAACTGTAAAATGCATTTGGGTTGCATGAGTTATTTGATGTTTCTAAATGCAAAACACTTCTGGCATTTTGTCATATAGAAGGCTAAAATGATTCTAAATTGCTTCATTTGCTACCAGGATCAATAAACAAGAAGGTAAAAGCATGGAAAAACCAATCCCGTCTTTGATTAGCTTATGTATCTTTAGACTGAATGATTTCTGTGCTTAGAATTCTTCTGATCACTGCATCTATGAAACATCTAAAAGATCAACAAACACAGCATTTCAACCAGACTAACCTATCTTAACTTCAACAAAATTCAATCGCTATGATCTTTAAGTCTTCATGATTCTAACAACAAAGAACTTGTTGAAGCAGCAGATAGGTCAACCAACGACACAAGTAGTTGAAAAATGGCTGACTTAAAGGAACTCTGATAGCTGAAATAGGAGACTTTTGAATACCACGTCAAGGCAATATTGCCAAGAAGTCAGGGCTTTTCAGCAGCTTTCTGAGAAGCTTCAGAGGTTATGTACTTCGCAACATCAGCACAGCAAGTTAGCTTTTCTGCCTTCTCATCAGGGATTTCAATGGAAAATTCTTCTTCAAGAGCCATAATAAGCTCCACCCTGTCCAAGCTGTCGAGGTTCAAGTCTTTCTGAAAATCAGCTGTTTCAGTAACCTACACAGTGAAGTACAAGTAACATCAATTCCTGCTAACGATCCTTCATTGGTAGAGATCTGAGTCATAGGCAAAATTTCCACTTAAGGTCCCAAAGGTGGGGAAAATGAGCCAAAGGAATTTGAAAATAAAAATCTCTTAGAAAGACCAAAATTATATTTCCTATAGTACCACTGGTATCTTCTAGAATTACAATTCCTATTCCTTATAATCACAAATCTACAACATTATTGTAGCATAGAGAAGACTAGGTTGTGAATTTTAAAAACATGAGTGATGATTTCAGGATGCGTTGGTGGTAAATTTAGCCCTTGAAAAGAATTTTGACTTTGAAAGTCTCCAAGAACAATTATTGTTACCAAGTTCGTGCTCATGAGTGAAATATCCCCTAGCTATAGTGGGCATTGCCTTGAAAAACAAGAACAACCCATCTAGCTAACACCCAAGTTTTTATTTTGTACCCTACAAATAAATTTCCCAAAGCGAGTATAAATAAAAACATTCAATAAGGCATTAATACTTAAAAATAGAACCGTGCCAAGTCCTATTCATTTCCAATACAACTTAACTTCAAATGGAAGTGGAACCTAGATAGTAGATACTGTCGTGCATCCATATCAGCGTTGATGGTTCTAAGAAGACGTTACATATAGTGCATATTCAATGGAGCAACAGATTTAAAGTTAGCAATATAAAATTGACACAATTTAAATTTGCACATTAACCATTAGTCTAATACCTTAGAAGCGTTAATCCTATTATAGTTCTTCACCAATCCAATAACTCGATCCAATATCACATCAGAGCTGGCATCAGCTGAGGAGCAAAGGCATCTCAATTGCATCAGAACATTCTCATCCCTCACCAAAAACCATCTTTCATTTGACCTCCTCAAATTTATATGTCTCAAGATAGACTTCCTTATGCTCTGCATATCCAAGAGATCTGCAAAGGTCCAAACACTTTCGAATTGATGCAACCGAGCAAATTGAATAATAATAAGATACATAATGAATAGAGGAAATAAGAAGAATAGAAAACTTTTTATCTGGAGTGCCCAGAAAGACCAGTGGAAACAAGCGTTTCAATTCAGATTTAACAAATTGTAATAATGGGTAACCTTAACAGCAGTTGAATCTAACAGATGTAATGCCACAGGTCGATTTACCCCTATAATCGAATTGCACGTGGCTTTCACAAAGACCAACTAGGGAGTTAGCAAGTGATCAAACTGTCAAAAAGGAGGGCTATAAAATGAAGGCTTTATTTCCAACAACTATGTGTTGGCCGAATCCAATGGGAGGCTGGTAACAAACAGAATCACATGACATCAAGTGAGGGACAGCTGAAAGCAAGACCCAGGTAGCATAAAAGTTGCTAAAATAAATGGGTCAGGGAACACCTCAATTAAAATCTGACGCGTGCAGCCTAAGGTTAGATGAGCTTTTTGTTATATGCCTAAGCCCGCAGTCCAAACTATTGCTCAAACCCATCCCGAAGAGTTCCATACGTAAGGAATATCTACTCTATGGTTCCTCATCAAATAGGAAAGTCTATGCATCTAGAGTAGGAATCAAGGGCACTTCAGAAAAAGGAGCAGTGAACATACACATGTAAAACAATTATTAGACACGACACAACATTTTTATATTACATATGAATATTGCGTTGCCGTGTCCGTGGCACCTTCATGTCCCATGTGCCAATGCCAAAGTCTATTAAACACAAACAGCATTTTTAAATTTCAAAAGCCCTGAATAAAATGAGCTTGTTAAGTGAATAAGTGAACGCAAATATGTGTTCCCTACACTGCAATATCATTCAGTTCCTCTCAACGCAAAAGAAAACAGACCAAGGCATCCGAACATGTTGACAAATTCAGAATTTCCAGAATTAGAAAATAATCAGAAATTAAATCAATAGCAGTATTGGAGGGAAGCAAACAAGAAGAGTTATGCAAAGCATCAATAGTTTCGAATGAACACTTCATATCATGTCGAGTCAGCCAAACATGTTATCCTTTCAGAAACGGCACCTACAGCACAGAGCACAGCCTACATTGTGTTCTGTAGGTCTCGCATGCGCTTTCGAGTATAGTATGAAGTACGAACTTCTTAAACGCACAAGTGAGAAAAGATACGGTGCTCCATATATTTCTACAATGCAATCTCACTCAGCCAGTATCAATGTCACCGAAAACAGAATCAAGTACCCACAGACAAAGACTACATGAGTAGAATGGCGGAAAATAAGCCCGAGCATAAATAGTTAAAGATAGCAGACAGTGCTTAGTGCGTACCAAATAAACAATTGGAAAGGAATGGATACTCACAAGATTCGCCGAAGCGTCTGGGATTTGGTCAGGTGTCTGATATAATGGCGGGTAGGGTGTTTGACGAATTGCCCGGGTGAGGCATTCACTATTTGTTATTCGTTTCCACGGGCTCCTTTTTTTAATTTCCCTTTTTTTTTAATCTCATTTTCCACGGACTCAAGCCATTCGCACACAATAATTTTTTGCCATCGGTAAAAATAATAATAATAATAATAATACTCATTCTACCATATTATTAATATAGAATAAAAATAATATTTTTTAGCCATCGGTAAAAAATAATAATAACACTCCTTCTACCATATTATTAATATATTATTGGCCGAAAAAATATGCTACCTTTAATTTTTAATATAAGAGTCAATTACCCTCTTGATATGAGAGAAATGGAAAAAGAGAGGGGGGGATTTTTGATTAGTTAGATTTAAAAAATTGAAAAGTGGAATCAAAAGCTTTCAATTAATTTTTATTATAGTTTTATATTACTTTTTCTTTTTATTAAAGTTTTAAAAATTTCCTTCTTCAAATTTTTTAAATAAAATTTATTGAAATATTTTCTCTCCTCCCCTCACACCAAACAGTACCTAAGAAAATTAATTAAATTAATTATTTGTAATAGATAGATGTTATTTTTCTTAAAATATTTTTATTATCAAATATATTAGTTAGAACTACAATTTAATAAAACATTTAATATATACACCTACTTACAAAAACTATTTTAAAAAAAATAAATAAATATGAGAGATAAAATAGACTGAAGTCTTATATTTAAGATCAAATTGAATGTTAAACTGATTCTTACTCCTCTGGTCCTATTTATAGGGTAAAAAAAAGTTTTTTTGGTCATATTTATAAGTTACTTCATTAAATTTTTACTATAAATGTACCATATTATCCTTCATTTATTATAATGCAAACAGTTTTTTTTAAAGGAGTATACATTAAATAAGGATAAAATTGAAAAGTTGCTATATTTTAATTAAGAGTTAATGCAGTTTAAGGTTTTTCTTGATCCGTGTAAAACATGTTGGAAATGCCTTATAAATAGGACTAGATTAGTACATTAAAAACCAAAAGTAGTAACAGTATATAAAAAACTGTTTACCTCTGATCCTGAATATAAGAACTAGTTGATTAATTTGAGTAAATTAAGAAAGTAAGTTAAGTTAGTTATTTTTAATACATAGATGTTATCTTTCCTAAAATATACTAACTAATCAAGTTTATTGGTTAGAACTATCATTATTAGAAAGACTATTTTGAATAAATAAATAAATGAATATGAAAGATAAAATAGATTAAGATTTTATATTTAAGACCAAAATAAAAATCAAATAAAGTCTTATATTAAGGACAAGAAGTAGTAAAATTTTAGGGTTTGTTTGGTTGGAGGGGAGGGGAGGAGAGGGGAGGAAAAATGAGCCCCTCCCCTCATTTGGTTAAAAATTTTGGAGGGGAGGAAAACCAAAATGTCCCCTCCCCTCTCCTCCCCTCTCTCCCTCCCCCATTTTAGCTCCCCTTCAAATTGAGGGTTTTTGGATAGAAGCTAAATTTTTAGACCATTATACCATTATAGTTTTTTTAATATTCCATTTCTATCCATAAAATATATTATTATAATATTTATTTCAAATAAAAAATATATTATCCTAAGTAAAAAATAAAAAATATATAAATTATTATAATTAAAAAATATATTATAAAAAATTATTTAAATAAAAAATTATAATATTATAAAATTAATTGTTTCTTATAAATATATTTTAAAGCTAAAAAAAGATAGCCCAAAGAATAAAATTTCATTTTTCTTAGAGCATATGAAATTTGTTGATTTGATTATTTTAATTATATTATTATATTAATTAGAATAAAAAATTACAGTACCAATTTTTTAATGCACATATTAACATGATAAGACTGAATTTTTATTAAATTATATAATTTAAATTAAGATGTAAATTAATTTATATAATATATTAATAAAAAATATAAACTAATATGTAAGGATAAAATGGTAAATTGATTATTACTATCCCTCCCCTCCCCTCTTTGAATCAAATAAAGGATCATTAAATATCTTTCCCTCCCTTTCTTTTTAATCAAATCAAACAAAGTGAGGATAAAACTTCCGCTCCCCTGCCCTACCCCTCTCTCCCCTCCTCTCTACTCTCCTCTCAAAGCAAACAGGCCCTTAATTTTATCTATATTTCCTCTTAATTTTAAACTTAGAATATGTGTTTTTTCTCTGTTAATTAAATATATTAATCCGTTCGCTACTTTTGTTTTGTTATCAACAATATAAAGATTGGGAAACTTAGTGAATTAGTTATTCTTTTTAATATCTTAAAATAGTTTTAACAGAAAATGTTATTGTCCCAGTTAAAAGAGATTTTTTTTTCCTTTTATATTAAGTATTTGGTTAGAAGATCTTGAAAGAAAATGGAGGGGTCCTTGTTTGACTTATCATAAATTTTTCGAAGAGAATATTGAAAAAATTTATCATTGAAGAATTTATAATCCAAAAATATTTAAGAATTTACGTCATTGAGTGGGTGCAATCATTTTTCAATTGTGTGCATTATATCTACAAATATATGCAAATATCTTTCATATTATACATAACTAAAAATAAGTTGCATAGGATGAAAAAGAGTTACGTATGCTGAATATATATTGCATTTAGGTTTCTAAGCAAACTTCATACACCTATGGAGTTTGGACAATAAATTTTAAATGACTTTTTTTTTTATAATTTTATTTGAGACACTGTTAGCTATTAAACATATTATATTAAACATAGTATTAAACAAGAACACTTGATTCGAATGTTGACTTACCAACTACTTTGATACATCTCCCTCGTTATGTTGAGGTAGATTTTGACAGAACAAAAGAAGGAAGGAAAATATTTTTAGCCGTCCAGCCTAGACACATAGGAATTATTATTATTATTATTATTATTACTACTACTACTATTTTCATTTTGCGTGGGAACAATCCAAGAAGAGATAGATTTTCCGGGATCTCAGTATCTCACGTGTACGACGAATCTATTTGAGATTTATGTAAAATCTAAAAAGTGATCGTTCCTTATTATTTACGCTGGTAATTAGGCAATAATGTAGGGCTCAGAAACTTTCAAATCCTTAATGCTTAGAAATTAGAATGATTGCCCAATGAAACCTGGTGATTAGTTAATGCCAGGGAAAGGGAGCTTTCGCACCATATTAAAAGGGAAAACTACAATGTGATCCAAAGTTTTTTTTTTAAAAAAAGGAAATAATTATTTTATCGATTTTATTTACAAATCAAAGTATCAAACTTCAATTATTAATTTATAGGTAAAACTATATAAAAATTTTAGTTTGGTCTCTTAATTATGTAGAATATTTTTCTAATCCTTTAATTTTAACCCAATTTATTGAAATGACGATTTTTTTGGCCTGTCACTGTTAGTTTTTTTTAAAAAAATTTAATATGTCCTTATTTAAAATATTCTGTTAGTAATTAAAATTTAATATCAGTAATTTTTTTGTTAATAAAATTAATAGTGTTGCTGTTAGCAGATAAAAGACGCTTTATAAAATTAGGAAAATTCTCAGATAATATAGTTATTGGCTTTATTTTTAATTTTAAATTTGACTGTGAGTTTCACATGACATGATAAGATAGTTTATAGTGGAAACCCATTTGCAACATCTGCAAGCTGAGGGGAAGGAAGAATAGGTTGCTTTATATGATGCCTACTAAAGAGCCAAAGTCCTACATCAATTTGATATAACATAAAGAGAAGTCTTCAAATTAATTGATGATGCCCACCCACTAAATATTAATTAATCAATCAATCAATAACCATTTTACTATTTTTAGATCCCTTGAATTTGTGCAATATTTTGTGTAGTTGGAAAGAATGTCATCAAAAAAGGGTCAAATTTGTATGAAATTTACCTTTTTTTTCACTTTAGGAAAAAAAAATAGGTCTTTTCAATTTTCAATTCACGAGGCTCATAATTTTTCCTCTGGGCCTATTCAATACTACTATGATTCTTAATATAAGATATATTTAACTAATTTGATTAAATTAAGAAAATTATGTAAGTTAGTTAATTATAATAAATATGACATGTTTTTTGAAAACACCATAATCATCTTTCTTAATATCCTCCACCTCTCACTTACTTGATTATAGTTGAGGGAGTATACATAGAGATAATTTAGATAAATTGATAAATATAAAAAATAGGTCTTATATTTAGAATCAAAATTAACTTAAACAATTAGGTCCTATATTAATGACCAGAGGAGTATTTTGATGGCCTAAATAATTTTATAAAAATGTAACTCAATAGCTGCCGGATGGATTTTGTCACCCAATAACGCTAAACTCTAGTTCTATTTTAAACTAAAATTATGAGTTTGAAATTTCTATAAAAAAATATAATATGAAAAAAAAAATTAATAGCTGCCGAGTAAATTTACAAATGACTGACCAGGGCTCGTTTGATATTGCCGAGTTAAAACTAACGTAAGGAAGAAGCAATTGTGTGTTTGGCAAAATTACTTGATAATCTCTGTTGATGTTACTAATTGGTAAACTTATTCAAAAAGTGCTTTTCTTATTGTCAAATTAGAAAATTATATATCGAACAAAGTAGGGGAAAAAAGTAAGAGTTAATTATGGTAATCAATCGTTTTAAACGCCATAAAATTTTTTAAAAATGCTTAAAAAATAATAAGAAGCTCCGATTTTTTATTTTAGATGGATTCAATTTTGATACGATTCATATGTTATTTCAATATTATCATTTGAATTAACATTCAATAGTTATTCAAATAATTACTGCTTTTGGTATAATTTTGCCAGAAAAATTTTACTTTCCAAAACCATTTTTTTTAAGGAAAAAAATATTCGATCTCTTAGGAGTTAGGGCAAACACGGGCTTTAAAGTGAAAGAATATATATGAGCAGTGTTTTTCTTTTTAAATAAAGCTTGATTGAATGGGAAAGTATAAAAAGGCCTTTCCCCGGTATAATTACTTTATTTTCCTGAAATGGAATATTGTGGACCAAAAGGAATAATATATTATTATATTTATTATTGAATACAAAAATAAACCCAAAAAAAAAAGAAAATAATGTACAAATAAACCAAATGACTCGACTACATAGAATTGGGTTTTATTATCTTATAATTGTTGGCAGTATTTTCACTGATATAAAAGAACCTGGTGTGGATGTCGAAAACTTTTTTGCCCCTTGCTTTTATCTAAATATTTTGGTTTGATTAGTGTAAATTCAAGTATTATCATGCCTAAGATAAATCTCCAAACATAATTTTTTTTTTATTTACAAGATTCCAACTCACGATATTATTTGAAGGATATTAACTCTGTTTTACTTAGCCAAACCATTGTTTAATATTTCTTTTTATTATTACAATTATAGTATTATTGTGTTTTTAATTAAGATGATTATGTTTAAGACATGGATTAATTAATAGAAGTTAGGTCTGATGAAAAAGTCTAAACCCTTATAATATGGCGAACCAGTATTCTAATTTTTGTTAGGAAATATGTTCATATTAAATACCAAACATCCCCAATTTTTTAGAATACTTGTACATCCCCAATTTAAAAAAAAAAAAAAAAGACATGGACTGTGTGCGTGGAAAATAGTAAAATCAGTCAAAATTTGTGCATCCACAGGTTAAATGAAAAACATTTTACAGGGCTGGATTTGCAAAAATCCGTTCATAATATTTTAGGTTCAGTTCAGAATACTAAGTGTTATTAAAAAAAATATTTTAAGTTGATGGATACTATTAATATTTTTTAAATAGGTCAGAATATATATATAGAGAGAGAGAGAGCACATTGTTACATTTTTTTTTCCGATCACACTGATTAAATTAATTGATAAGTCGTCTGAATAAACCAATGAAAAGCCATAAAAATAATAAAAAATATTAATTTAAAATGGACACAAACCAAACATGAGGACGCCTTAATTGCGTCAATCTTCCACTGCCTAACCCCACGAACCAAATGGGGCGAAGCAGATGACTCAAATCATCAATCACTTACCTTCTCTGAAAAAAAAAAATACTACTTGGAAAAAAAGTAAGCCAAGCTAGCAAAAATTAAAATAAATAATCATAGTATGTGACAAATCATCCCATATTTGAGTTATTTAAGACTTCAACTGATCCAAATTTAACTCAAATTATGAGAAAGAGGTAGTTCTTTGTATTCACATAAATATGTGACCTCGTATTTAAGTAGTCACAATCATTGTCACCTAAATTAATTCTTCTTGTTAAATATGAAATTTTTATATCTATATATGAATATAACTACTACCTCCGATCCTTAATATAAGACCTCATTTGATTTTTAATTTGGTCCTAATTATAAGACTCCAATCCATTTTGTCTCTCATATTCATACATTTTTTTCCAAGATAGTCCTTCTAATAATGATAATTCTAGCTAATACACTTAATTAGCAAGGATATTTTAGGAATGACAACACTTATTTATTACAAATAACTAACTTAATTTACTTCCTTAATCTCTTCAAATTAGTTAACTGGGTCTTATAATTAGGACCAGAGGTAGTATTTTAATCATCTACTGTTTTATTTTAAATATAATATATGGGACACATGTAGGATTCTAATATCTACCGAATACTAATTTTTTGCCGGAAATAAAAAAAAGACTATTTATAAGCGATTAATAATAATATATTTTACCTCAAACTTTGAACAAAGTAAAATGTCACATTTTGATTGGAAAAAGACTAATCTGATTTACTTTTCAAAGTCTCAGAATACACTAGATGCATTATTCCTATTCCATTAATAGTAAAATTTACCTTACCCACATTCTAATTCTCATTCTAATTAGTGAAAAATTCATAAACCTATTTCATTTGGAAGAGAAGAAAAAAGATCAAATCTTTCATTTGAAGAAAAAATCATAAAAAATAATTAAACTCACAAGCTCATACTCAACAGACACTTTTAAGTGGCTTCATTATAAATAAGTGCTTTTATATTTTATAATGTGAAATTACTTAAAATAAATTAATCTAAACAAGTACCAGTATGTTCTCTTTTTTGTCACAACCCAAACATCAATAATATTTTTTTATATAAGATTCAAACTTGCAACATCACATTGAAATAGAATGTTTATTTAAATCTGATATTTTTAAGTGTTTATAGGTATTTTTATATAAACAAAAACAAAATTTTGAGATACTTAATTCGTATTTCATAAATTTCATGAATCATAATTAAAAAAATTATTTTTAAAGGCTCCTATAGCTAGTCATTGAATTACCAACCCCAAAGCCAACGTCATGAGCCATAAGGTGCCAATGGTATGACTTGACCAGTTGAACAAGATTTTAAAAAATTCATATTATATGTAAATTATGCACAATTTAGCTTATCTGGTTAGGTTGGACATCGCCGAACTCGAACGCTAATTAGGGAAAAACCCATTTTATTTGAGCCAAAAAAAAAAAAACTCAAGCAGAAACAGAAAATGTCTGGAGTACGAATAAAGTGAGATTTCACATAAAGGTCACAATCCTGAGGAAAACGAAAGGGGGATGATAATAGCGCATCTCCTCTCAGTGGCTTCCTGGGTCCTTCACCGTTGATGGGAAGAACAGAAAGTGGCGGTGTCTGTGTGCAGAGCAAGAGGTAGAGTGAGGAATTGAGGAAGAAAGCAAATAGCATCTGGAACCAAATTAAAGGGCAAAGAGAAAAAGACTCCGTCAATATGATGACGTGACGACCATCCCCACTACGCCCAACATCATTGGGCCACCATTCGATCTTCCAAACTCGTCGGAGAATATCATAATTACCCTACACTTTCTTCTCAGTGATGCTTAAGTGCTTCTTAAAGGAACAAGTTTCGATTTTTCTCTCTTGTAATCCCATATAATTTTTCACAACCAGAAGGGGAAAAAAAAAATTCTCTAGATGGGCATCTGTCGGAATTGGACCCGTATCTGCTGATTTTCCTCTTTCGATTTCTTCAATTCGTAGTGGGTTCTCTCGGGAGAATCGTATCGGAATATTTTATTAGTGGGTTCTTTCAGTTTCTGTTTTCCCCCCCTTTTTATAGCTCTTTGAAGTAGTAATAACGATGGGAAATGTGAATGCGAGAGAAGATGGGAATGGAAGTCCCTCGGGGGCCGAAGAAGAAGGTGGAGGCAGTGGCAGTGTACAGGAGGCCATTTCCGCAACGAATAACGTGTCTTCTGAGTTGATGGGTCAATCGCCCCCCACAAGCCCTAGAGCTACCCAATCTCCATTGATGTTCGCTCCGCAAGTGAGTTTCTTCTCTTTCTACCTGTTGCTGGTTTTTATATCTATTGGGGAAATGGGTGTTTTATAAAATGTTCGCAGGAGATTTAAAAGGTCCCCCCCCCCCCCCCAAGCGAATATCTAAACCCATAATTGAAATCAGATAGGGAGATCAAATAGGTTTTGATTGAATCTAATTCTTTGGAAGATTAAAATGCTTGTCGGAAGGATGGGCTGCGCTTGTTTTACTTCAGATTTTTTTAGCGCCATATGGTGCACACTAGATGTTTGATGCAAGTCCACTAGGTGGAGATGAAACTCTCTCTCTCTCTCTCTCTCACACACACACACACGCATCTCTCACTCGCTCACTCAAATTATTCAGTTTCTTTTTCTCATCTGTTACTCTATAGCCTTAGTTGATATTATGGCAACTTGATATCTGAGAGAGGAAAGCTGATTCATAACGTTGCCATCTGTGATTATGTTCTAGGCAATTAGTTTATCTGGGAACACAATTGAATATTTTGCTGTAAGTGGGTTGGGAAGCAAGTCGATCAGGTTTTTGGGATCACTTCAAAAGGGGCTATATTGACAGCTCTCTAGAATCTTGTCTAACCAATGAGTCACTTGTCCTACCCCCACCCACCTCCACTAACGAGTTGATTGTGGAGATTATTGATTGGGACATTTTGAGGTTTTCTTTTCTTTCTAACGAGTCTGATTCTGAAATTTTTCGCCACATTCCATATGTTCTTGACTGTTATTCTTCTTATACCTGTTTCAAATTTTCTACTTCCCTTATCATTAGGTTCCAGTGGTTCCACTTCAAAGACCTGATGAAATGCAAGCCCCGACTCATTCTTGGATGCAAGCTTCTCCAGCATATGAAGATATATGCAATGAACAAGGAATTCCAACGATGATTACTTGGAGTTATGATGGGAAAGAAGTAGCTGTGGAGGGATCATGGGATAATTGGAAAACAAGGTTTGGAAAAGCTGTAGTCTTATTTATTTGTTTTCAAATTGTAGTATTGATTGTCATTCAGATTCTAATCTTCATTGTTTATCAGAATGCCCATGCAAAGATCCGGGAAAGACTTCACTATAATGAAGGTACTGGCATCTGGTGTTTACCAGTACAGATTCCTAGTTGATGGACAGTGGAGGTATGCTCCTGACCTGCCCTGGGCTCAAGATGATGCTGGCAATGCCTACAACATCTTAGACTTACAGGTACTTTACATATATATATATATATATATATATATATATTGTCTGCACTCAGTTTGACAGTTATCACAGTAAGGAATTCATAGACAATCTTTCAGTTGAGCAGAGTAACGAGGTCTTTTTAATAGCTAAATTATGTTGAGTTGGATCGATTTTCAGACACAATTAGGGCTTTAGGTACAAAATGAATCTTGTACATGGTTATTGTGAATAGCCTGATTATCTTCTAGCGACTTGCCTTTGAATGCACTCTTCTCAAGTCATGCAACAGATTTCTTCTCTTTTTATTATCTCCTACTCTTTGACCAAATTCCTATTCTCTTATGAGCGAGAATATTTTGTTTCTACATACATGGTTTCAACCTCACAAATGTACTCAATTCCATTCATTTTTGAATTGTGAGTGGAGCCGTCAGCCAAGCTGGCAACCTGTTTTTACTATTTGTTCTAAATGCTCACATTGTGTGATAATGCTTATACACTCTTGCAGACTATTTTTCAAACCATGTTATTCGTGACTCTAAGCTGACAGTGAATTTCCCTCTCTAGCAGCTTGATGTCTAATAACAAAGGGGCTATGATGTACTAATATCCCGGCTCAAGCTATAAAGCGAAGCCATAAATTCAGGATGTCTATTAATCTTATAATTTCCCTCCCGTCTGTAAGGAGGGAGGAGTTAATATTGAAGTAATTGAGCTTGCTTTCACCCGTTATATACATGTATTTTTTAATGGGATAAAGAATTTCTCTCTGTAGCTAAGTAGCTGGGAAGTGGCTTTAATTCTTAAATATTCAACTTCAAGTTGTATTTTATGTGAGATTTGGATGCACAGACATGCATAGTGGCTGGCAAAAATTGCAAATCCTAGCCAGGACGATGCTATTGTATATCTTGTTTGGGGAAATTGGATGACTCTGTTATCTTCTTCTGCTGGGAGGAATCGGTACTTAAAATGAAACTGCGAGTGATGGTTCTTTTTAATCATATGCAGGATTATGTTCCTGAAGACATTGGAAGTATTTCTGGTTTTGAACCTCCTCAGTCACCAGAATCAAGTTATAGCAACTTACAACTTGGTTCTGAAGACTATGCAAAGGAGCCACCCTTGGTTCCCCCACACTTGCAAATGACTTTGCTCAATGTGCCTGCTACTAATATGGAAATTCCACCTCCTTTGTCAAGACCTCAACATGTGGTGCTCAACCATCTTTACATGCAGAAGGGAAAGACCAGCCCTTCGGTGGTTGCACTTGGTACGACTCATCGGTTTTTGGCCAAATATGTCACTGTGGTGCTGTACAAGTCTTTGCAGAGGTAAACGTAGATGGCATGGACCATTTAGTCCTCAAAAGCCTTTCGTTAGTTAATGTGTCTGAGTAGGTATAGTAAAGAGATAAATGCTGAAGCTCAGTCATGAAGTCGAGATTGTAGTACATGTAACGGAACTGCTTGACGGCCATTTATCAAACAATCTGGTTCCCGCAAGTAAATTATTTGATGTTTCTCTTTAGGAATTTTGTTTAAATAGAAGGGGAAGTGATAATTTGCTATTATCACATGTAGCTGAAAATAACTTTGGTGAGTTATGCTATTTGAAAGCCCATATTCACTGCATTCACATTTTTTCCCTTGTAGTAAACTATCATTTGAATTCCTAAAAGATGCTTGTTCAATCATTCTAGTCGTTACAAGAATCAAGGTAACTGCTATGATTTGACTCCAGACAAGTCTATGCCGCTTCTGTGATCCATTGAAAAAGCTTAAATAAGAACAAACTGTGGGTGATTTCTTGGGAAATTCATGTGTCATAACTCATACTGTTTATTTCAATGAAACGGGGTGCTTCACCAAAAAAAAAAAGCTTTCTTGGGAAGGTCATTTCCTCTGAGAAAACTGGTATATAAATTTAAGGAGTCTGAAAAAATGTCACATTATGAATGGGTTGAATGTGTTATCAGGTGAATTTTGGAGATAAATTGAAACAGTGCAAGGATGATTGAAAGAAGCGTGTGGGGGGTGGAATCTCGTTCAATTGTGACCCCCACCTTTCTGACACCTAATATAGTATCTGATGCAGCTATGGTGGGGCATGCCAAATGTTTTGGCTTTTAAATCTCGTTGTCAGTTTAATTCTTTGATTCTTTTTTTTTTTAAATCAATTTTTGGTGGCATGCTGCTCTGATTGCTACCTTTTGAAGTGGCAAATTGAGTGTCTGTATTTTCTTGTTATTTGATTCAATCACTCCCAGGAGAAGTTGCTGCTAGACGCAACCCTCCCAAACTCTCAGTCCTTCACAAAAAATTAGAGACGGCGAATTAAAATTCATATACAATCAATACTTCCTCACAAATTTCAAAGTTACCAAACACTTCAAACACCATAGAAGTTATGCAAATTTTGAAGCAAATGAATACTAGAATTCTAAAGAAGTTGTTTATAGGAAGCCCAACAAGATTGGCTACGTTATGTTTGGATTGTCAGCTTTGCATTTTGCTCTGCGAGTGAGGAATAAGCCTAGGTCCAACGTGATGTTAATCAACAATATTCGAATTCCATGCCTCTTCAATGTCTTTCTGTGAGGGCAACTTGTGTGTTATGTGTTTGCCTCCGCGCAGAAAAAGTGAAAAAGAAATGAGAAGTTGACTTCAACTTCGTACGAACAGGTGTCTCTGGTTCTGAGATTGCACGCATTCCTTCAACTTTTGGAACTTGATTCTGCACCGCCCTGCAATTATTCCCTTTTATCAGTCTTTTGAACGGCCACACAAAATTCCTAATATGTGGTCTACTGATTACACGTGAATCAAATTAGTTTTAAATATTTCAAGCAAATTTCCTTGGCAAGAAAAGAAAAATTTCAAGCCCATTGAGTAGAATTTTGAAGAAAAATTACCAGTGGTCCTTTGGTTCAACTATTCATAATTTTCAAAGTGTACTTCCTAATAAAAGGAAAAATAACTTCTCAAGAAATTTATCATATCTTGCTTATTTATTACTACCTCCGGTTCTAATTATAAAATATTGTTTATAATCTGCAAATAAGATCTTATAATTAGGACTAGAGATAGTATTTTTTCTCCCTAAAACATAGGTCTCCTCCGATTAAAAGTAATCATATTTGAGACACTGTCAAATACTAAATGTAAACACATCTCCAGGTGAGGATTCGAATTTTGATTCACGACCAGAAATAATATGTTACTTCTCAAAAGTTAGCTTTATAAGATAAATATATTAATTTTTATAATAATAACTTAAATATCCTTATTTCAAATTTAAGAAGTTTAATTATAAAGGATTTTTTTTTGCCAGAATTATAAAAATACTTTTAGACATTAATATAAAACAATTGGGAAGGACAACGTCCTGATGTTTCGCTTGAAAATTACTTCTCTAGTTCCATGAGAAACTGGGAGACCAACTAATCATTTGTGTCGTGGAGAATTTTACTCTTCCTCCTCACTTCTTCATATCGTGTAGTGTAACCACTAAATTTTGTTGAAGCTTAGTAATCATACATTTGTCACATTATACTTCCTCCATAATAACCCCCTAATAATAATTTTATTTAAATTAATAAAATTAGTAAAAATGATCGGCAAAAAAAATTAGTAAAAATTAATTATTTATTATGAAACATCAAAATTTCTCTCAACGATTTAGAATTTTGATTAATTAATTAGATTTTTTTTTGTTTCGTAAAATAGTTGTTTTATTATATTTGAACGCTATAATTCTTCAACAATCATCAAAGAAAGACACAAAAGGTGAAATAAAGCGCGCATTTACAGAGTTGATATAAATTTTGATGAAGTTTAGTAATCATATGTTTGTCACGTTATACTTCCTCCATAACAAGCCCCTAATTTCAATTAAAAAAATAACAAGTCCCTAATAATAATTTTATATAAATTAACAACATTATTAAAGATAATTATTATTATAAAATATCAAAATTTATCTCAATAAAAATTAGTAGAAAATTTTGATTAATTAATCAGAAAATTGTACAAGATAATAGCTGAGAAAAATTAACGTTTTAGACAAAATATGTTACCCTTCCGGTCCTTAATATAAGACCCATTTAACTAATTTGATTAGATTAAGGAAGTTAAGTAAGTTAGTTAATTATAAAAAATGTGACACATTTTTTTTAAAATACCATAATCATCTTTTTAATATTCATTTTTCTTTTTTACTTGATTATGATTTAGGGAGTATCTGTAAGGGTAATTTACAAAAAAAAATTGATAAATATTAAAAATATATTATTACATACGCGGAAGATATTTATAATACAGACAGGACAAGTGTTTTGTTCTCTCTTTTTCGTTTGGCGAAATAGTTGTTTTATTAGGTTTTTTTTTTTAAACCTGACAGTTGTTTTATTAGATTTGAACGCTATAAAAAGGAAGACACAAAAGGTGAAATAAATTAGAAGCACGCATTTACAGAATTGCTCGGCAAACGGCAATATGCTATATACCCTCCCCAGCCCCCACTATTCTCAAACCATAACCCACTTTAACCCCCCACAGTAATCTACTCTCCTTAATGACGAAAATGAAAAGATCCTATCTTATTAAATTTTCTAATCAAATCCCAGCACACACTCACGACGCTAAGTCATAAAAATCTAACTTTGGTAGAACCCGATAATGGTGGATCCGATTCTCTCATCCCCACTATGGAAGCTATCAGAAAACTGGACAGCCTTCCACTTTAATTCCAGGAGCAGTAGGACAAGAAGCTAGAGGACAATGATCGACGTCACTGCCCCACCACTTTAAGTTATGGCCGGCGTTTTGCAGGGCGAAGAAGAGGAGCACCCCCATGAACGCCGTGCCTGCGTCCAGCGCCGCCGACAGGACGTAGTTGTACTTCTGCCACCACCGTTTGTGGTACTTGAACACGAAGAAGTTGAAGATCATTCCGGTGAGAAGCCAGCTGGCGATGTTGGTGGGAGTGGCCGGCGGCATCCCGGCGAAACCATATGATATGACGGGGATGTTAATGAGGGGAATCCATTTCTTGTCGGGGTAGATTTTGCTGAGAACCCAGACGGGCACAGGGAGGACTGCTCCGATGAGGAATAGCCAGACCAGGTTACGGTACATGCCGCCGGGACCAAACAGCCGCCGGGGTCCGATGAGACCCCATATGACGGAGGCGTCGAAGGTGACTCTGAACTTGGGACATGTCCAGGGACTGTCGTGATGAGCCTTGTCGTCCATGCAAATATCTTGAATGCCATCTAACATCCACCATGCAACTGCTAGGTTCACTATCGCCGAAACCAGTGTACCCACCAACTACCACGCAAGAAATTACATAAACTTCGTATTTTATAACCTAGTATTTTATGATAAACATATGGATTTGTATACTATGAATCTACAAGTCTGGAATGTAAATTCATATCCTACACACTTACTTCAAAACCTTCAATTATGAGGACCCACCTCTGTAAAGGGGCCCCATCTCTCAGTTTTTCTCTTTCTTATCATTTCATTTATGGATATGGATGTAAAGTAGTGATTCTAAAGGTAGAGATTGAGGGAAAAAGTGGGTGGAACTCAATTCATTACACACTTTGAGATCTTTATGCGGAAAAGAAATTTAGAGTGTGTTTGGATGATACCAAACCATGATTTGGATAATAGCTTCTGGAGAATAGATTCTGAAAAAAATAAATTTTATAAAAAAGTGATTCTAAGAAATGAGAGTGTTTGGATAGTTATTATCAGAAACACTTTTTATATGTACAAATTATTAAAAAAAAGCATAAGTTAATATGATAATTACATAAAACATAGATTGTATGATATATTTTAATTTGAAGGAATAAAATTGTTAATAATATATTTTTTACCAATATAATTAATAATACATAAGATAATATAATTAATAAATAATTAATATGTGTATATTTATTTATAAGATATAAGATTAAATATGTTTATAAAAAATTAATTAAAGGGTGTTAAAGTCATATTATTATTGAGATTTATTCTAATAGGTACAATCATACTCTCCAATTTAAGCCAGAAGCAGAATGGATTCACTTCTCTTGAAACCATGGTTTCGACCCAAACCATGGTTTCGACCCAAACCATGGTTTCAGATAATTTGTGCCTGTTTGGATTGTTTTTTTCCCAAACCATGGGTTGGGTCTCCAAACCATGGTTTGGCCTGCTATCCAAACAGGGCCTTAGAAGCTCCAATCTCAAAAACGAATCAGAAATGAAATATATAACTGTATTTTTTTTAGCAAGAAACTGGTGGTTTTGGTGCAGTACCTGCGCAACATACATGGAGCGTGGAGGGATTTTCATGTAGTGTCCAAGTTTGAGGTCTGACAAGAAAGCGAGAGCATGAACAGTGCTGATTCTTCCATAGATTTTGAAGAGCAAGTTTGCAATTGGTTTCCCAGGCAGCACATAACCAATCATGAACTGTGCTATTATGTCATATCCTGGTTGCTGCAACATAACAACCCCCACAAAAAAGCTTAAAACTCAAACCTTAAAAGGTAACATCCTCATAATTCACCCAATGGTTTTATCCTTCGTCGTCAAGTCAAGTTCACTCACATCTGACATATTAACCGAATCTTTCAACGGATATTGGGGATAGGAGCATGGAGACAAATGACAGACAAGTGGGAATGATTAATTGATTACCTGGTTGGTGGTGGCTTGAATAACACCAATAGGGAGGGTGACAATGAAGGCCAAACCAAAAGCAAAGAGCATTCCCCACCAAGGAAGTTGGACATCCTTTTTCCACACAAAAGACATGATAAGGGACAGAACAATGCTGCCAAACAGCAATACGAGGAACCACCACTGAGGCACTTGTTTGTATGCTTTCATCAGCCTCGCATGCACATCCACCTTCACATTACCCATTGCTGACCTACTTTGTCTCAATATGTCACTGCACAAACAAAACCAGTTCAATTTAGTCACACACACATAAGTATGCATCCATCTACACTAAATAGGCCTCATGAGCATTTTTGTTTGGGAAAATCGGCGAAAAGTCCCTATTTAGAAATTATATTGACAAGAAGGACCTGACATGTTTTTATGCACAGAAAGCACATGTACTCTGCAGGATTTCACACACAAAAAGTACTAGTACTCCAATTCATGTCCTTCTCGCCCGTAAAGTTTTCAAGAAGGGACTTTTCACTGATTTTTTCCCTCTTTTTTTGTGCTATAGTTATGCCGCCAAATATACCTGCCGTGAAAGAGTGCGACATGAGTGAGAGTTGCTGTGAATCTTGCAAAACCGGATCCGATAGACAGTGCAAATAGAGGACTAAGGTAGAGCTTGCCATATTTTTTGTAAGCCTCGATATCGAGATCATAATTAGGGGTCAAGATCTTTGTGGTATCGTACTTGAGTCCATCAGATTTGAACAACTGGTTTGAGAATATTGGGAATTTCCTAGCATCAAAAGTGTTGAATTTCCAGTAACAAATAGGAACAATGATGTAGATGAACATGATGAAGCCTATTCCCACATTAACAATGGAAGACCAAGGAGTGACAAGAGGGCTGCCGTGGTAGGCAGAGATCCCAGCCCAGTCAAATGTGAAGGCCCCAATGCCCAGCCCATGGTAGCCTGAACCTACTTGATGGGCCGTGATGTTGTGTGGCCAGGCCCAGCAGACCCAGGAGAAAAAGGTTAAGATGGTGAAGAGATAGCCTGGGAGGGCATAGTACAGAAAGCTAGCTCCCATAGCTATGAGGAAAAACTGCATCCTTGTGAAGCCTTTTGATTTGTTCTCTTTTTCATGGAGTGCCCTGGAAAATGAAGTTACTGATGTTATCAGAAACAAGTTAAAATAACACAAAGAACGACCAAAAACCCTATTTGGTTCCTGACATAATTCAACCTTTTCTGTAGTGTAAATTCTTTGGGAAAAAGGATATTGCGCTTTGCTGATGTAGAAACAGTGACAGCATAATATATGTTATATATAGTTTCAATTTGAGCCTTTTCTTTTTTCAGAGTTATGCCCTCCTGTCAGAGAGTTATTGCACCAATCGGATAGGATAGCTTATGAATGAACCTACAGAATAAAAGCATAAGGAACCTTCCATCCAAAAATGTTCTTTTTTAGCTCCTCACATCCTTTGAATTCATAATCGTGGCATTGCTTCAACCTCGAGAATTTGGAACAGATACAAAACTTTAAATCTATAATGCTTTCATTTAGCAAATCTGAACAACTTCTAATAGACAGGCCAATAATTTAAACTAGTCTCAGTCAAAGTTAGACTAGATTAGATCCAATAATCCTAATCCAAAGTTATCGTCTGGTTCCCTTAACATTTGTTGTATACCATGAAAGTCCTTGCAGCTACATCTCATCAGCACAAGATCATGATTTTATTTTTAATATGAAGCAAAAAAGTTTTAAGTGATTGTCTTCTGAAAAACAAATGCGTATTGTGCAGAAAATGAACATGATGCAAGGAAGGCGAGCGACAACCTGGAAACTAACAGAAGCATCATATGAAATTTAGTGAAATTCATGGGAGTTTTCACATAATCACTCTATCATACTGATTGTTACACAGTAACATGTCGGAAAGTTCCCTCTTTTTCTTTTTTTTCTCTCTCTTAACAGCTGAAACCGTAGGGCAGATAAGAGAAGTTTGCTCCCAGAATTATACTGATATGAAATTCAAAACAGTCTTTTTTTAAAAAAAAAAATTGTTGGTTAACTTACTTTTGGGGAGATTTTTTTTTTTATCTATGAAAGCAGTTCTTTGATTTTTCAAAGCTGTGCGTACCTAAACATCTCTATCATCATGTCGATTAAAAACAAAGACTTCAACTCTTTTAATTATTAACTTGAAGAGTAAAGAAAGATAATAATGAAGCAAGAAAGAGAGGGAGGAACCTAAACAGAGAGACTTGAGCAAGATTTGACGGCCACCACATTTCTACAGGATCAACCAGGTACCTCCTCAGAATCCCAGCCCAGCCATACCCCAACACCTGCAAATCACCAAATCATCAAATAATTAATACACAAATTAAAAAGACAACTTTATTAAAGTAAAACTTTTCGGACAACTAGAAAGCAGATCGATCACAGAATATTTGTTCCAAATTAAAAAAATGAAAAAATTCAGAACTTTATCAAAATAAAATAAACCAAAAGTAAAGACAAACTTCGCAGACATCGGACTCGGAGATTAAATTATTTCTGCATGTTTCGCAATTAGTATAGAATTACGAGAAACGAAGAATTAAAGAAATCGAATTTGTTAAAAGCGCTGGAGAGTAACGTTTATGGAAGAGTCAAGCTTACAGAAATTCACAGATTTTGAGGAGAAACAAGATCTTAGAAAGAACCGATCACTTCGAATCAAATGCGCGCTTAAAATTGCCATAGAGAAAGATTGAACCGAAGCAAATGGAGAAAATGCATTGAACTTTTTCAGCAGAAAGATCTCACCTGGGTGGTCAAGACGATGAAAAGAGCACAGAGGAAGCTGAGGGTCTGTTTATAGTAAGCTTTCATGACAGTAATGGCTCCAATGGAGTAAGCATCGCCTCCTCCGATGGAAACACCACAGTTAGCGAAGATAGTGATAATCACATGCTCTTTGATGTTGAACGGCCCGGGATTCAAGCTGAATCTCCAGCCGAGCAAGTTATATTCCGTGGTGGGAAGAACAGAGGCCATGAACTTTCCGATGGGGAGGACGGCGATTTGCATGAGAATGGCCGAGATGGTGAGGGGCTGAGTACGGAAGGTGAAGAATGTGTTGAGGAAGATGAGGAGGACGCAGGAAGTGATACCCAGAAACCAGGCCCTGAAAGTCATCACCGGAAGGGAAGGGTCGTCTGTCTCCGGCACCACCAGAGCCACCTCCTCCACGGGACAACGCTCGTCGGAGGCGTCGCCGTTGGAGACCTTCTCGGCGTCGGGAAACTTCTGGGAGTCGGGCTTGGACGCCATTGAAGAAACTGTAAAAAGGAGGGGACAAAACAAGAGAGAGAAAGAAAAAGACAGAGCACTCTGATTCTGTTTCAGTCACAGAACGGGTTTCATTTTGGAGTTAGTGAGTGAGTCGTTAGTAAAGAGATAACACAGTAGTACTTGGCGGCAGGGGAATGCAGGTGAGGGGTGCTTATAAAAGGAGTTAGGATTGGCATTTCGGGGCGAAATCTCTTAATTGCCCTCGGGAACCATACTAACATAGAAATTTGAGAGGCTCTGGCCTCCGGCGCGTGTGTACACGCCGTTTGCTTGTGTCGCTTGTGTGTACACCGAGGTGTGTATACATGTTTGTGTTGTACTGACATGTGGGTAGCGTATGTCGCTGTCATGTTTGCGTGTATTTTTACATTTTTTAAAGATTTTTTGAATATTTAAGAATATAATTTGCATTTACTTGTGAGGTTAATGAAATTTTTGGTGTTTATAATTTACCGTCATTTTGATTTTAACCTATGTAATTTCAAATCATAAATTTTAATCTTTCAAATATTTTTCGTTTAAAATATTAGTTCTTATATTTTAATAAGAACCTGCATCATTTTATTTCTTAGAGATCTAAAACCCATGATTTAAAAATATGGGAATCAAAAGTAAAGTAACAACAGATTATGAGATCAAACACTGTATTAATCCTTTTTTTTTTTATTTAAGACACCTATCTTCGGAAAACCGAAATTGTAGTTTATCTATCTATATTTTGACATCTTTTATTCTACATAAATTATATACTCCACATATTTAGTTTGACTTTAGTATATACTTTCCTGGTTTATATAATATACTCCTCCGGTCTTTATTATAAGACCCAATTTGACTTTTTATTTGGTCCTAATTATAAGACCCAATCCATTTTCTCTCTTATATTTATACATTTTTTTTTCAAGATAATCCTTCTAATAATGATAGTTTTAACCAATATACTTAATTAGAAAGAATATTTTAGGAATAACAACACTTATTTATTATAAATAACCAACTTAACTTACTTCTTTAATCTTCTCAAATAAGCCAATTGGGTCTTATAATTAAGACCGGAGGAGTATGTCTTTTTTTTTCAACTTGATTTGATTCAAAGTACTGACGTTTGTCAATGGTATATTTAAAAATTCTGCATATTTTTTTATGTAGATTTAATGTTATAATTATTTTTTAATTAATATTTTATATTACATAAGGTGAGTAAATTATAATTATATTTTGGATTGAAGAAGTATAATAATTGATACAAAATTAAGAATAATTGCTGCACCATTTGCAACATGAGGCAAGCCTTATTTTCTTTGTCCTTTTGCACTTAAAGCCACATAATTACTCAAGTCAAATATGACATTAATATTTGTCATCCCGGGGCATTCACTGTACAAGATTCTTCTCTCGTAAATTAGGAGGGTGCAGAGCCCACTGGTACAGTCCCACTCAGGGAAACTTTAGGTAGTTCCTTGGGTGCAATTCAATCCCAGATGAGCCCTCTAATAAAATCCGACCAGGCTACACTGGCTGGGCATTTTGATTAAGGGCCTGTTTGGGTATCCCAAAACCGTGGTTTCAAAAGTATTTTTTCGTAAAACGAGATAATCTCCTCTACATATTTACTTCGTAATCCGTAAAAGTACTTATGAAACTATGGTTTGGTTTCTATCCAAACACACCCTAAGTGATCAAACCACTTCGTCTACTCTATTATGGTTTGGGTGATTTTTAAAAAAAATATTTTGTAACTTGGATATTGTTTTTTATTGTTGTTGGAGATTCTTACAAATTCATAATTGAGTTTTAATATTCTGGGATAAATTTATATGAATATAGGTAATTTTTAATTATCTTAATTATATTTATCATGTTGAAATCTAGTCTCTCAAAAAGAAAAAAAACTTGCAGTCTATGACTCCCTGGACCAGTATAAGTAGTTCGGAAAACCAAAACTAGTTTGGTCTGAGCTCAAGTTCGAATTGAATTGAACCGATTGAGAGCTGATTTGTTCAACCCGAGGTCTTCTCAAAACCAGACTTCAAGGCAATGATTAACCTTGTTCGGTCTGGTCCATGTGCACTCCTAAACTAAATTTTTTTTTTTGGGTTCTTAAGTTGAGATTATTAAATAGGATAGGATTTCATAAAAAAGCATAATATAAATTGGGTAAAAAATCAAACTGATTATAAGTTGTAAATTGTATACTCCTCAAATTCTACACTGATTAGTCAAGCATTACAGCTGAGGTGATGTATTAGTATATTCAAAAACCAATGATCCGTTTGGTTGGGGTAAATCAGAGACATGAAAATAGAGTGAGACAAGGCAAAAGAATCATACATGATTGGGGTCTCAGAGTGTTGAAAATTTTTTTTACCACCTTTATTTTTCATTTTCTCAAGATATTTTCCTATTTTTAGGAATGTTTTTAAGATAATCTCGTATTAAATTTTTATTTTAATTATTTTATTTCTACCCTATAAAATGACTGTTTTTCATTTTTTTTTTTAAATCAAAAAGGGATTTTGAGCATCCGGTCCTTTGACGCGGAAGTGGCTATTCGCGAAGTTTCGGTAATGAGCATCTTAAAAGACTACTATACCCTCGTTATCATTGGTAATTTAAACAAAATAGTTTTCCTTTTGTAAAGAAATTTCTTATTTATCTATTTAATTAAAATCCAATTTCAAAATATAAAAATGAATATTAATTCAAAAAAAGCTGTTATTATGAGAAATTTTAAAATATGTTTGCAAACTGAAAAGGTAAAATAAAATATTTATTGTATTTTTCATTAAATAGATGTCAGAAATCTTTTCAAGGATAGAGAAGTTAACAACAAATATTGTAATGTTAATATGTATCAGGACGATATTATCCAATAAAGTTATGTCTATTTACGTTTAATTATAACACAGCATGATCAATGAAACTTTATTTTATATTCAGAAGGCAAACATGCCGGCCGCCAGCCTGGCACATGTGAAGATATGGCTTTAACTTGTTGATTTTGATTGATGAGATTTTTCCAAGAAAAATACTACGTACGTTATAGAATCAGATGATATATATTAATATTATTATATTGAAAATAAATAATATTGTTCAAGATTCCAAAATATTTTTTTAAAGAGAGCAACTGCTTGCATGTGTTTGAAGAGTCAAGAAGTTGTCTGTCGCTCTTTTGGACTTTTACTGACTTGTACCAAGGGCAAGTGGACATAGTGACATTCTTATCTTCTTTTATAAAATAAACAAACAAAGAAAGTAAAAATATTCTACCAAAAAAAAAAGAAACTAAAAATATGATATTTAAATTTAGTCATTTAACATTTTAAGATTTTATTATTTTGTAAATATAATTAAACAATGAAAATGCCCTTATATCAAAAAGTTTATTAACAAGTTATAAATTGACAGTAATAATGTTGAACAACAAATGATAAATTATCTATTAACAAGTTGTGAACGGGTAACAACAAGAAATATACTAGTAATGACAAATTTAATGGTTTTTTTTTCAAACATGATATAAGAGCATTTTAATCATTTAATTATATTTATAAAATACTAGATCAGACACTACTTTCTTCTTTATTATTTCTAGCACTTAGGTATCTGAATTAGGAAATGATAATTTCAAAAAAAAATTCCTAAATTTTTTACTGCAAATAATAATAATAATAATAATAATAATAATAATAATAATAATAATAATAATAATTGTCTCCTCCTGAAATGGAAGACTAATTGGGATTCGTCTGATATTCAACGCAAGAACTCAATTTACCATTCTTATCCTTACAAAAAATTTCTAACCCACAAGTAATTATAAATAGGATTAATACAGATTTTGATATTTTAAATTTGCTTTCATTTTGATTTTGATTCTTCAAATTTCAAATCATAGGTTTTGGTCTATCATATTTCTTTTATTCTAAAATATTCGTCTCTATAATCTAATAAATATTTGATCATCTTGTCTCTTGAGAGACCAAAACTTATAATTTGGAATTTAGATGACATCAACCAAAATGAGCGTAAACTTGAAGAATGAAAAATTATATTAATTCTTATAAATGTTATGAAGTACTAATAATGAATTACATATAAAGAGAAAATACAAATAAGAATTTTACTTCTTTTATGCTTCATGCATTTACCGAAAAAAAGGTTGCTTCATGGATATATGCTCATTGTAGGCTGTTAAAAACCTATGCTTTAATAACAATGCCGTCATTGAAAATGATTCAAAATAAAGATTCCATCTCAAGGAATTTGATGAAGTGGCGTATCAACAAACCTTAAATTAATGTATAGCCTAGGTAAAAATCTATACTGACTCCATTATGTAAATAAGAAATTAGTTAAAAACAATAAATATGTAAAAATTAGAAGTTTTTTCTCTAAAATACTCTTATTTATGAGGGAAAAAGAGTATAAGAAAGAGAATAACAAATTATTATAATAAAGATATTTATGAAAAAGAGAGAATGTGTGATGGAGGTATGATAGTTTGAAAAATGAAACAATAAATATATTGAATATTAAAATAAGTAATTAATTGGGATAAAATAAAAAAATTGCGATAAAAATTTAAGATAACTTATAAATATTGCTTATATTTAAAAATAAAAAAATTAATAATTATTGTTTATAAAAAGAAACGGAAGAATACTTTCAAAGAGGAAGAAGGTATTTGTGCAAATTGGCCCCACAAACCTTACCTCACTTCGCACCAAGACCCTGGTCTTGTTTATGGCTCTAGCCTAGTCACCTATATATATAAAATCAATATTTTTATTTTTTAAAATATTGTAGAAATAATCAAATGTCATGCTAAAATATGAAATCATGATATTTTCTCGATATTAACATATATTATTTCAGAGTTCTCACATTTTAGTACCAATATTTCATGTTAGAACATGGATAAAATACAGTGCATGCAAGAGTTATAAAGGCGATAAATAAAAAAATAAATCATTTGGACGGCAAAAAAACAAATAAGCATTCCTTTTTTTCTTTTTTTTGAATATCATGATGCCATCAACAAGTATTAGGCGCATGGGTAAGCGGGAATACAAGCTCGTTTCCAAGAAGTACACTA